ATTCAAGACAGACAGAACAGAAATACTTCAGTCCAATCTTGGCTTCACAAGCCCTGGCAGATTTTGGACCTCAGATGCTATCTAAGTTCGTTGTTGAAAAAAAGAGGCATTATTGTTATTTTTTATTTACCAGATGGATAAGAGGAGGGAAGCCACAGCTGTTTTCTTATCACTCTTCATGTCTGGACAGGAAATCAGGCGGGTAAATCTCATCTTGATCCCAAAGAATGAATTAGGTCAGGACATTTTTGTGCTCATGTGGTGAAGCCAGGGGGATGGGGTTGGAAAAGGAAGAAAAATTTCTGCTCCCCTTTCCCATAAGAGTGCAACCCAGCACACTCTTTTTTTATAGTCAGAGTTCAAGATTTTGCTTTCTCAGTTTTTCATAGGATACTTTAAGTACAAGCAATTCTACTTACTTATATGGATTATTTAATCCATACACAGGAGCCTCTGCCAATTTTTTCAACATCCAAATAATATTAACATTATCCTCTCCCTTCCTTCCTTCCCAGACAGCAAGAGAAATAGGCTGATCAGTGTATGTGGATATGTGTGGGTGGGTGGGGGTGAAGCCAAAGGAAGCGACAGAGTTAGCTCTTAGCCCTGAATGCTTTGGTTGCTTTATTCAGTGAATTAAATAACCTTGGTCTGGCTTCTGTGAGGTTTTAGTCTTCTGTGCTCATGAACTTCCCGTTACCAGTAATCTTTTTTTATTGTTTCAGCCCAACACAGCTGTTCTGGGAAGTCCTGGCCAAACAGAGAGTCAGTCTTTAAGGTAACTCAGTGATATCCCATGGAGAGTGCTGAGTATTGGAGTCGAATGCTTGAGCCAGACTCACTTTTTGCAGTAAGCAGAAAGGGAGAGCTATGAGTTCCCACTGAGCTGTATGCTGACCCCAAATGCTCCTGTGTTTATACCCAGACTGCAGTTTTTCCAGGACACTGGGCTTCATTTTGAAGTCTGATGGATTACAAGGAGTAACTTCAAGAATCGCAACTCCATAGACGATGTCTGTGAGGTTGTATCTGTCCACTAGTCTCTGAAATTAAATAGATTAAACATTTGCCACCACCAACACAATGTAGTGGCTAAAAAACTTACCAATTTACTGACCAACAAACCAGCTAAACAAACCCCACAGCTCATCAATTGGAAACCTCTGCTTATGGTCATGTCTAATGTGGAGACAGGCACAAATTATGTAGGATACTGCAGGTGGAAGAAGAATTATCCTCTCACCCTCTGACTTTGTTCAGGGAGGAAGAATCCAGGCCTTTTCATGGTGTTTAATTTCATCCCTGCTCCTTGGCTTTAGGACACTGATCAACCAGCTGTCCCAGAGACCAGAGTGACACCCCTCAGGTTGAACATGCAGGTGTGCTCCACATCCATGGGCAGGAGAAAGTCACTGGAAGTCATCATGTAGGATGGTAAGGGAAGTTTCTAAAATGCATCCTGGCCCAAAATGAAGAAGGAAGTAGGAAAGAAAATAGCTGTGAGCTGGCATGGGAACCTTCGTCCCCCATAGGAGACTGACACTATCTGTAAGCTTCAGATAGTGATTTCTACAATACTCATAAGACTATACATAGATTCACTTTGTTAGAAGTTTCAATTAGAAACAATATGCATTTTCACACTAGAAACTTTTATTTTTGCACAAAGCTGTAATGCTGGGGACATTATTATTCTCAGGGGAGATGTGGAAACAGATTTCAACAATAGATGTTTAAATATTTTTGGGGAAAAAAATCACTTTTCAAATTTAATTTCCTATGTAATTACTCTTTCCTCCCCATCCCACCACTGAAATGGAAATGAATCATTTCAGTTATTTTGAAAAAAATTTGTCTGATTGCTGTGCAACTAGATTTCTTCTGTTTATGTGCTCCCTCTTTCTTTTAATCTTTGGAACTTTTAAAATCTAGTTTTGAAATGTTTGAATATGTGTTTTTCCCAGGTTGAATTAGCTTTTGAACTAGTTTTTGGTTTAATTTTGGGTAGCTGAGTGAGTTTACTGCCAGAGCTAACACACATTCAGATATGTATATCAAGTTCTTTAAATGTCTGAAATGTGTCCCGTTTATTTTTATTTCATAGTCTTTTGACTAGCTCCTGTGTTTAAAAACCATCTCTCTTTCTAAAGCTTAGTGTCAATATGCTAGTTTTCAGCATGATTTATTCCATGAGGTTGTTGACTTTAATTATATTGTGGATATTCAGACACTGTTACTTAGTGGCTCAATTATACTTGCTTCTTGGATCAGTTCCTAGGTATTACTTAGGACTAAACGAAAAGTAAAAATAAAGTCTTGTTTTCTCATGTGCTGTAGAACTAGTTGTTCCAAAAGCACTTGTTTATCATGTTGAGAAATTGCTTCCTAAGTCATAGTCCATGTGGTGGTTGACTAACTAACATCCTGAAACACAGGACTGAGCTTGGGAAGAGCTGTCCGGATCGGTGAGTCCGGTTACTTGATACTCTGGGTAACCTGGGTTTGGAAACCCTGCTCTGTTGCAGAGCTGAAAGGGTTTGTTCCCTTACTGCAGTGCTCAGTGATTCTGCTGAAGACTTCCTGGCATGAGCTGGGCACTCAGTGAGGGACACATGGATATGGATTATGGCTCTAAAGGCACAGAGGCTGGAAATGGGACCTTTTCTAATCATGAGAGCTCCAGGCTCTGAAACAGCCTCTGAAAGATTACTGGAAACAAAACCTAATTGCTAGTCCACTGTCCTGCTAGAAAAGCCTTGTGGACAATGGAGGGATGGAGAGGCTTGGTGACTCCCACAGGCTGCGGTGACAAGGTCTGTCATTTTGGGGGTGACTTCAAATCACTTTGCCTTGTTAGTCCTCATCTACACCAGTTCCCACAGGAATTCTTCTTTCACGAATATGGGTGACCTGGGCCATATAGAAGACTCCTGTTGAGGTCTCACTGATATCTTACCCGACAGAACTAACTGGTGCCCATCTCTGATGGCACATTCTTAGTAGATATCTCAGAATCAGTATTTTGTGATCAACCTTATGACTGTTGGTTCATAGTTGCTTCTTTTGTTCCCCATTTACTTCCACTTTATGAGTTCTTAATTTACATCAGGATTCTTACAGCTAATCCCCATGGAAGACCTTGCCTTTGTGCTATTGTATATTATCCTGTTTCTGTTACTCCAGCTTTCAAGGTCATATTTTTCCTTCTGTATGAGCTGTCATGCCTCCTTTCCACTGATGTTTCTTTCTTGCTTTGTGTTATCAACAAACTTCCTCAACAAGTATTCCTTTTTCAATACAGTCATTAATGGAACTATTCAGTAAAACTAGTCCCAAGAGAGTCAATTAGTAATTTCTCACCATTTCTCCTTTCCACTGCTCAAGCTTCTGCCCCATTTGTCTGGTTCCTTACTATCTCACAATTTTAGCTTTAATGCCCATTTTCTCCAACTTAACTAAAAACTTGCCAGATAGCACTAGGGCCAAAACTTCCAGTATCTAGGTAAATGAGGATGACAAGATCTTCTGGGTCCTGATTTCTTTCAGCATTCAGCATGTCACAGGGCTGAATATTCATCTGCCCCTGAAGTAGAAGACTACCCTGTGGTAGAACAGGGCAAGAAATGCCCTCCTCTTTGTACTGCTTTTCATAGGTGGCTCATGACTATGCACCCTATATCTTGAGGACAGATCAGTGTTGCTGTTCTCAGGCTCTGAAGGCCAAGAGCTGCTTGTGCAAGGACACATATAACATGGTACCTTGTTGCCACAGGTAGATGTGAACTTTCCCCAAACGCATTGAGCACTGTAGGAGCTAAATATCCCACCCTTGGATAGGAGCCCTTCACTGTTCTTTGGGAACCAGGCAAAAATACATAGATCAAAAATGCATGTGTTAGCTGTAAGGTGACAAGGTGTCCTGTAGAAGTGCAGTAAATCCCACCTCTGTTCCAACCATTTGGTCATTCTTTAACTTCACGGTTATGCTATCATTTTCATTTTGCAACCAAGGCTGTAAGTCAGGCCACACTTGATCTTTTCCTGGACCAGAGATGCCACACTTACCAGCTGTTTGGTTAGCAAATAGATGTGATGGCTTTTCTTTCTTAACCTCCCGAGCTACTGATTCTGTAGCTGGCCATCCCCTCCCTCTGCTGAGCTCAGTCCCTCAGATCATGTCTACCCTTACCTAAGGGCTGGGCCTACCAGGACCTGCATGCACCAGGCGTCATGGATCTCTGCTGAGCGAGAGAGCACTGCTGTGGGTTGCTGCTCACACAGGTTCAGCATCCCAGCATGGTCCATGTGTGCTCCTGGCTCAGGCGCAGGCAGGGCCAGAAGCCCAACAGCCCAGCCCAGCAAGCACATGTCCTGGGTTGTCTGACATGTTGTCCAGCACTGTTGTGGGTCTGGTGTGAGAAGTGACCGTGCATCTCAGGGGCTTGTGCTTGCGTAAGCCAGCTCCTTGCCTCATGCCATTTGTCACTTTTGGAGGTTTTAGAGCTGCCTCTAAAATCAGACACTTTTGTTATATGAGTTTCCAGTCTGACAATAGCCTGCCATTAAGGAGGAGATCAGACAGTTGCAAAAGGAGCATAAAAGGAGATGGGAGAAGGTTCCTGGCCTCCTGCTCCCTGTGGAAGAACAGGTGCCCTGACCAGCAGTGTGGCTCTAGTCAGAGCATGGGAGAGGGTGGAAGAGTTGGGGGTCTTGCTGCAGAGAGGGAGACTGGAGCTGTCCTCAGACCTCTGCCCACTCATTGCTCCTGGTCACAGAAAGGCAGCCTGGACGTGGCTGTGGCCCCACTAGCTCCCGGTGTCTGTGCTGGCTCTCTCCTCTCCCTCTTGGCTCAGTTCCTTGAGGTTGTTGGCTTCCTGGTTGTGGGCAGAAGGTGTTTTCGAAGGAGAAGGTGGTAGCCTGGGGGTGGATCAAGACTGGGAAGCAGAAGAGGGGAGGAGTCACTGATCAATGCTAATAAATAAAAGGCCCCTCTTCTTCAGTCCAGGGCCCAGGACGCTGGGACAGCTGCCCCCTCAGACAAGAGCTGCAGGCTGGTGGGGAAGCAACGACTTAGTGAGTATGCAGGGACTGCCTTGCTTTTCCTGGATGGCTGCTTGTTATTAATGCCTTGCTGGTGCTTCACAGCTGCAAAATGTTAGGAGTGGTTTCTAAGGCATGCATAACATTGTGATTCTCCACTCCATCAGACAGGTCAGAGAGCTGCCTTTCTGATCTCCCCTTTATTTGAGACACTGTAGAGATTTCCCTGGTATTTGCAGGCAATTTGTCTTTCTCTATTTCTGTATTTCTAACCAGTGGATGCTACTAGAAAGCAGGGGCTTTGGGCTCACTGTGCTCTCTGGTGTGAGCAGTGTGGTCTCTGGGGCAGCCCACTGATGCTGGGGAGGGGAGATGTGTGAAGGAGTATGGAGTGCAGGGGGAATAGAAAGGAGATGTACTTTTGCAAGGGAACGTGTTCCCCGAAGGAGATTTGTTGGCATAGAGCTGTGTAGCTGGCATGTTCGTTCATCCCTTGGAAAATGTATTGCCCCTGCGGTGAAAAATGAAACATTTGGGTTAAAGTGGTGTTTGTGGCTCTTCTCCTGTGGCTGATGGCAGGGGACGGTCCAGGCATTCTCTGAACAGAGTCCTCTGAAACTGGAGCAGAGTCTTAAGGGAACAGAGTGCTTGTGCCCCGAGTGAAGACAGATAAATAAAGAGGGTTTGTCTGGAAAGCATGTTGGAATTTCCCACTGTGCAGCCTCACCTTCATTCCAAAGTAGTCCCAGCACCTTCCTTTCTGTATCCCATCACTTGCCCACTGGGGTCTCTTCTCTAGTCTCTCCCTCCCTTTCTTGGTAGCTCCCATGAGCTCCCAGAGTGTACAAGACATACAGGAAACATATAAAATTCTCATTACACACTAACTCCAAAACTGTGGACTCTAAGGTATGCATACAATCCCAGAACAGAGAATTCCCTTAAAGAGTCCAGTGTGGCAGGGCACAGGGGGACAGCAGAAAAATCTCATTTCTCCTCTGACTTTGTGTCTATAGCAGACTTCTGTTTTTTGCCCCTGCACAGCAAAATCTCCTCATCTGAGGCTGAGCACTGAATAGGCAGAATGTGGATGGTATGGGGGGCATTGATGATGCAGGACTGAACTGCTGTCTGGGTGGGGTGGGATAATGGGGAAGAAAAGCAGTTCTTTATCTTTGGTCTGAAGTTGAAGGCCCTGCTCAGTTTCCTTCCCAGAGAGGCAAGGGCCGTGAGTTTGGCCTTGGAAGGGTAAATTGTACATCACAGAGTAATCTTGTTCCACTGAATTTTCACTTCCCATTGGGGAAGTGTTAGGCTTTGGCTAGCTGTTCCTGTAGTTCTTGGCTGTGTCACCTGTAGCATGGCTCCCCAGACTGGCCTCTGCAGGTGTCAGCAGTGACAACACCATACTGGTTTAGGGGAGAGTGGTCTGCATCCAAAGTATATACCCTGTCAGTGAGAAATCCTGATGCCTGCACGTACACATGGACAAAACAGGCAGTCACCACAGCTTGGATCAGTCAGAACAACGGTCACTGTGCCCTAGGCTCATCCCCAGGCAGCATACATGGTGCCAACCCCACCACTGCCATGGGTGACAGCTGGGTACCTTCTCTCCCTGCCTTGCCTCTAGCAAATGACTCCCCTTGACTTTTCAGCCAGCAGGGATGGCCATCTCTGTAACTCCTTTATTCTTTCACTCCCTCCTACTGTACCACAGAGCTGAACAGGGGAACACCCCATCTTTTGTCCGTCACTGTTGTCCATGACATTGGTCCCAAACAAGCTCTTTAGGTGCTAGAAGGTAAGGTAATGCTCACAGAGACTGCTGACCTGGGAGATTCATCCCAGCTGAAAAGCTTTGCACTGACATCTGACTTCAGTGCCCAGTGGGACAAGGACTGCTAGTGCTAGACCAGAAAGGCAGCAGTCCTGAGAGATGTGCTTACCTCTGCATTCACTGAGATGTTGTCCCTTGGGCTGGAAGATCAGTGTAGGGTCAGGACCACAGTGGGGACTTGCAAAGATAGATTTCTGGGTGTTGCTGTCATCTCAATGCAAAAATTGTGATCCCTCCAGCAGAAGGGATCCTTCTAGGATGATGCGTGTCACTCCTGGAGAAGTAAAGTAGGAGGGAGGAAGGAGCAGTAGGGGTTGGATTCCTCCTCTGATAAATGGCAGGCTGGGACCACAGTGAGGGCCAGCTGGAGGGAGGGGGGCTGAGTGGGGAGAGTGTCTGAAGCCTCATTCTCCATGTCTTCATCAGCAAAGCTGACAGAACAGTCTGGGCTGGGTGTATCCAGACAGAGGATGGTGAGGGCAAAGAGGGCAGATCAGAGGAAAAATTAGAAAGGAAAACATTTACATTTTGGATCAGCACACACCTCTCCCTCTGGGCCCCTGGCAGCCCCTGAAATTCCTTCCACTTGCACAGGCCAGTTTTTCTGAGCATAGAGTTCTAGTGACGTGCTTGTCTGTGAATTACGGCCCCCAGCCCTGATCTGGGAGAGGAAGGGGGCATACCTCCTCCTTCCTGAAACCTGATTAAATCTGCTAATAGAGGATGTTTTGTAATGGCTCCATAAAGAGTATGTACCAGCCAGCTGTTGCCTTCCCCAGGCTCTTTCGTGGGCCCCCTCCTGGCTCTGTTTTCATAATAAACATTCCACTGCTAATTTTGCAGGCAGCCCAGGATCTCCAGCTGCCCTCAGTGGGAAGAGAGCAAGACACAGTGAGAGAGACAGACTGAGAGATTCCTGCATCCATTGGCACAATGCGCACTCTCATCAGCCTTATGCTCCTTGCTGCCTTGGTGATGGTTGCTACTTGTTATGGTAGGTGACCTTTTTTACTGAGTAGAGTGATAACTCCAAATCTACAGACATCTTTGGGTCTGTTTGGATGTTTTTTTTTCAACTTTGTGTCTTCCTTCCCCTTAACTTCATCTCTTGCCTGCTTTTCTGCCCTTGTGTCAGATCCTCCTAGCACTACTCCAGAGCTGTCGGTTCCAGTCATTGTGTTTTGTGGTCCAGGATTCTTTAGCCCCTTCTTCTCTGTTCCAACTCACCTCACAGACTACTCCCCTTTCTTCCCCTCTCTTGTCTGGACTACAATAAGAGTTCTTATTCTTAATTCTCCCTTGTCAATGGGGAGATTTCCCTTTCTCCTTTTGTAATATCAGTTCCCTTTTCCTGTCAGGCACACAGTTCCATACTGATGGAATTAAGATGCTGTTTCATGCAAGAGTCAAGCACATCTCACTGTGCTAATCCATTTTTTAAGAACACAGGCAGGCTTTGAAGGTAAGTAAGTATCATATCCACTGTAGTGTCAGGAACATGAAGGTGAGGAACTAGGCTTGCGAATCACACAGTGGCAGACCAAGCACGAGCCTTGAATTCCTGGCTAAGACACCAGGTAGCTCCATTCTAAGCTCCTGAACACCTTAAACTCCTCACATAAATGCTAGGTCACACCACTGATCCCTTTCTCTTCTTTTTAAACAGGTGTCTTAAAACCCTGCTTTTTTGACTTCTGTGTGCATGCATGTTCTATTGATCTGTGGTATGTGAAAGACTGTGAATACCATCAATACAGTGTCTGACCACATATTTTACTCTTTCTTTCCCCAGAGTCCCATGAGAGCATGGAATCTCATGAATATCTCTGTAAGAAATGGCTTTACTATATTCTTGAATTTGAAGTGTGCTGCAGACATCTCCAAGACCGTTTCCTTGTACTTTACTGTAGGGATTAAATAGGCAGAAACACTCAGCCAAGGGAAATTGAATTTACTGGGTGATGGAGGTTCAGGTTGAAAAGGGAGAGAGTTAAAAAAAAGACTTCATATATTTGGGCAGAAATGCATACTGCTGTTTTGCAAAAAATATAATGAGAATTGGAAAACACACTCATGATCTTAGATCCCTGTTGCATGCACTTAAACCAGGTTAAATGCCACTGGAAAAGGATATTGCCCAAAAAGCTCTGGGATGAGCATGGAATGAGGTACTGCAGAAGCCAGTGACATGATTTGTTCTCCCCCAAGGATGGGGAGAACCTTACTGTCAGCACCTTGGAAGAAGCAGTTGGGATGCGTGGGCAGGAGGGATCCTTTGGCTGGAAGAGAGAGTTAGTGTCACAGGAAAAGCACGAAAGGGTGGAGGGTCTCACTCTGGAATGAGTAATATCCTGGAGAGGTTAGAGAACAGGTGGATAAAAACTAAAAACAAATTAGACCATCTATGAGAAGGACTTCAGAAAACAGCTAGTCAAAAGCACAAAGACACATGTGAGAGCCAATGCCAAAGACATCCACAGGCTCCTGAACTCTGTGATGTTTCTCAAGAAGGACAGAAGGGACCTTCAGGCACCTCAGGCCAAAACTGCCACACAGACTGCTCAGTGACTACTTAGACTTGGAGGCAGATAGATTTGATCAGGCCCTTCCTGATTTTACTTGTAATTTCATGATTCTGCTAATTCTACTTAGTGTGCTCAGACCTCCTACAGTCTGTGCAGCTTAGCACCTACCTCTTGGACAAGCTCCACTTACTCAGAGGGTCTGTGGCATCAAAATCACAGTATCTTTACCCTGGGTGGCTTGAGAAACAGCAAAGCAAGAGCAGCATGTGCACTTCCATACAGGCTGCACAAACCAGAGTGAGAGCCTACGCACGAACCAGTGGGGTGGACAGCAGGGAATATTAAAAGGTCCTGGGTTTCAATGTGCATGGGAGGGTGGAAAAGGAGGCTGTTATAAATGTGGAAGCTAGCTTTTGTTGAAATCTGGTCTTGAAAGATGTTTATCTACTCTGAACCATCCCTTGCCTTCTCAGATCCCTTCATCAACAGGCAAAGGGCCAATGACTTCATACAAGCTGACACAAGACTAGAAGCCTTCTCTCGGGACAGGTATGTTATGGCCTCAGGATACTGAAGATGGGAGTGGGAAGAGGTCTCTCCTTGCCAAGCACAGGCTGGTACTAGGTGTGGCAGCCATGGTGGCTTCTGAGAAGTCTCAGCTCCACTCTCAATATGAGGTACCTGTAAAGTCCTCAAGCCTGGGAGAAGCCAGAACTCAGACAGCGGAGAGCAAGTCCTTGTGTTTTAGGACATATCATGTGTTGAACGGGCTCTTCTTAATTTGTCTGAAGGAAACACCAACAGAAGGAGAGGGATTCAGTGTGAGATGGCCAGAAAGGAAACTCGGTTTGAGATCTTGTTCTAGTCCTCAGATCTCATGCAGAATTTGTATGACTGTTTCTAAATCATAGGGCCATCTGGGAGCCTCCTTGCCTCATCTATAAAACACAGATATAGACAGTTTCATGCCTCAGTGAGGCTTATGAAGATAAAGACTGAAGCACAGAAATCACCTCTTAGCGAGGCATCAAGACAAATCTTCTCCAGATGGCCCCTCTGCAGGATGCTTAAGGTCTTTGTTCCATGCATGGCTTTGGGGAAGAACAGAAGAGCTGAAGACAGCAGGCTAGGTGGGCTGCAGAGGGAGGAATCTTCCTCAGGTTGAGGCAGGAGCAACCCCTTTCTCCCCACCACCCTACTTAGCCCTGAAATAAAAGGTTACCTAAGGAGGAAAAATGTTCCCACTGTAGTCACAGCGCTCCCCGGGGTGCAGTGAACACAGAAGCTGGTGTGCTAAGATCTTTGTAGCTGGATGATGGAACCTGGTTATGGACCCTTAATCCTAGTGGGGGAGTTGTGAGGCAGTAACGAGCTATAGACAGATATTTAAGATGGCAGCACTTACCACTCATGTCTCCTACTTTTGCAGGATCAGGAAGCGTAATAAGTCACTCCAGGAACGACAGAGGGAGATCTGTGAGGACTACTACCCCTGCGAACAGTATGCTTTTTACCATGGCTATGTTGCTGCTTACAAGCACTATTTTGGGAGGAGAAGGACCAAGTAAAGGATGACCTGTCCCCACCTAGGGGCCTGGAGCCCGGGGTATCTTCCCAAAAAATGAAATGGCTCTGAAATATATTTAGTTGCTTGTGTCCCTGTATGTTATCCTGCCTGCTGCTTCTCTCCCGTGTAGCCATGGATTCCTACACTGTGTTAATTAGCTCTGAGCTCATGTAGCAGAGATCAGAGAGAGTTCAGGATGTGGGTGTTTGTTACACAATAAATTGCTGGTTTGATACTATCTTCTCATGAGTCACAGTATTTTGTGGGGCTGTGTGCAATTTTCCATGAAGAAGCTGAGTTTGCTTATCATAGAATCTGGTGCGGATTACAAAAAAAAGTCACTAGCTTTCAATCACGTGACTTTGAAAGGATCTACAATGTTTTGTCTCAGGGTCTACCAGTGGCTTCATTCAGAGGTCACTGGCAAATTTCAGTTCCCTGTCTTAAGACAACTTAAAAGGGCATGGTGTTTAGAAGGTAGAGTAAGATGCGCTTTTTGAAAATGAAATCTATAATATCTTTCCTCAGTAGGGGAAACAAAATGCAGAAAGTGCCTGTTTAACCTTGAGAACAAAGTTAGGGTAAGACTTAGTGACAGAAAAAGCTTGTGAACTGCATCTTGTTTATCCAGATACCCTCAGGTCCTGAAGTACAGTGCTCCTGTAGAAAGGAGTGTGTGGTCCAGTCTTTATTCATATCTCCTTTTGGAATTTCATTTCATGCCCTTACTTCCACTTGGAATGATTCTCTGGTAGTGCTAGAAAGCTGCAGAAACCAAAGGTGAAGAGGAGCTCCAGGTGGTAAATAAACAAATAAAAGAAGCCCGATGTTTTGGGTCAAGCCCAGCTTTGTTCACCTAGAACAATTTCTTTTTGCTGTTCATAACTCATTTGAAACCAAGATGTGGCCTGACCCTGTGCACAGGTTGCGGAGTACCTCCCAGACCAGTGATGAGTGACATGACTGCTGTCAGGTTGCTACCACCACCAGCACCAGGGCACCTCCCAGAGCTTGTCCCCAGGCTGAGAGGCACCAGTTCTGACATGCCCAAGAATGCTGGTCGGCAGCTCGGATACTCCTTGGTGTGGGTTATGTAGGAGACATAACATCTTCTATCTCAGCTCAGAACCGCTGGTTTCAATATTCACATTTCCAGGCTTCCACAGGCCCCTGTGAATTATAGAAGTGGGAAAGATTCATGGCACACTATCAAAAGCTATGAGGTATAAAGTATCAAATTGTTGACTAACCTGTGAAATTAAGTCTAGAGCCAAATCTACCTGCCACATTAGAAACATGTATCTTCTTCCAAAATATGCTTCAAGGCTTTGCCAGTTTCAAAAATGAATTTTGGAAAGAAATGTTATTTATTGAAAACACTTCTGACAAGTAGCTCTGCTTTGACAGTTTCTAAAGTTTTGTCCAGAGGGAAAAATAAGAGATAAATCAATTTAAGGAGAAAAGCACCATATGAATTAGGTATATTTTCACCCACACTTGTTCTGTGTGTTTCCAAGTAGGTGAATCTTATGATCACCAGCCAGAGCCAAGCTTTCATACCCTAAAGTCAACAAGTCTGCAGTGTCTGGGTTTGACTTGGCACTGTGACACTACCAAAACAGAAGGCACAGGGTTAGTGCTGTCTGGGTGTATGTCCAGAAATATCTCGTGATTTCAACTCCGGTTTACCAGTATAAATAATGAATAATACCAGAGATTTCTGTGGGATTTCGTTACTGTAATCAATCACCAAACATATTTAAGAGACTGCATGCTGGTTAGAAAGCTTGGGAAAAGTTGATAAGTAAAGCTGTTTGGAATACTAGAATTGTATATTTATATTCATTCAAGTATTCTTTTTGAAGCATAACTTTCCTAGAATACCTATTATTTTTAGATATTTATTTATTTTTAAACTGTTGCTCTTTAAGACACTTTTGCTGGAAGTTGTTAGTATATATATTCAGTCTTTCCTGATTTGTTTTTTTTTTTTTTTTTTTTTTTTTTTAATCCTTATATGTCTGTAAGCTAAAAGACAGTGCTTCTAAGGATTGGAAAAATCCCTAATGGCTCTGACTGCCCTTGAGAGCCTTTTAGGCTTTAATTCTGTAGCTCTTGGACACGTCCCCTGCATGTGGGGCTGAGAAGGACTGGATATGAGGTGCAAGAAGGTGTGATCCATACGCTGACTGTGGGTCATGGCTTTGGGAACTTGGATGGTGGGTTTGGGCAGTATGGTGTTATTGGTAGATAAGCTGTAGAAGAGCCCATGCCAGGCTCTTGACATGCCAAACAACCAGAGCCATCCAAATCCCCAAGTCCTGAAGAATAAAACACTTCTGGAGTCTAAAGCTTTATTTCATTTTTAGACAAGTGAAGATAAACTTAAGCCTCCAATCTAGGAAGATTCCAGTGTTAAAAAAAAAGACCCTCCCTCAAACTAACTACCAAAGTTCCCAACAGTATAAAAATCTCAGGTCTCTGCAGTGGTTTGGTGAAACTATCTGAAGCAAAAATCTACTGTGTGTTTGCCCTAAGCAAACAGTTTCATGGGCTTCTTCACCTTCATGGAAATGGGTCAGTGTGTGGTGAGGAGAAAAGGGTCACCACTGGGTTCACTCTCATTTGATTTTCCACATGAAAGAGCCCCATCATACAAAAACAGTTGCTCTGCTTCAGGCTGTGTTGGTCTCTACCCTGGGTCTCTGGCAAGAAGCTTAACGACTTTCATGTTTACAATAAAACTGATTTTTTTATCCAGTTGTTTTTCTTCAATAGTCCCATTCAAAACCTCAGATTAAGATCTGGAAATGCCACGAGTCCTGAGATAGATGTTAAAGTGGCTGCCAGGACCTGATATCTCCTGGCCCAAAGGATGGGCTTTGTTTTGGAGCTCAGACACAGGAACACAAGCCAGAGCGCTGAATTCTGCAGGCGATTACAGGATATAAACCACTGCCCGAAAGCAAGCTCCAGAGAACTTCAGTAACCTCCAGGAAAGCTCTGAGGTTAGGAAGACTAGCACAACCAAAGAAGACATGAGGTGTCTGCTGGCATCGCTGATCGTGACTCTGACCCTGGCAATGCTCTGCTGTTGTGAGAATGGTAAGGGGACATTTGCCTGGGAAGGCTCTCGGGAAAGCTGCTCAACCCTGCAAATTGCCACCAGCTTCCCTTCGGTCTGGGAGAGACGTGCAGCTTTGAGGGGAGGAGGTGCACCACCGGCCAGTGCACAGCTTCAGATCTCTGTCTAAGAGACAGTCATGGATGAGAGGGGGCTTGGGGATAGAGAGCTTCATCACTTGCTGGGCACTTCCTTCCACTGGTCAACCTGCCCCCTCCTGCCCCCCAGTTGCACCATTGGATTGCAGCAGAGAATTCAAACATTTTAATATGTATTAAGCCAGTTTAGCATTTTAGGTGAACTGGCAAAGGTATGCTGGATGCTCACTTTTGAGTAAGAGGGTTGAGCTGCAGGCAGATTTATTGTGACTACAGGGAGAGGGATTTTGTGTCTGCCAGACTGGGAGTGCTGTAGGATCACAGAGATAGGCATCAGATCAAGCGTTCACCTGCAAGGAAATGTGGGGTGTGGAGAACTTCTGGAGGAAAAACCCCTTCAATTGGTTGTTAAAAATAAGGGAGTTGTCCCATTGAAATAAGAGCACATCACATTTGAAGGTGATTTAGAGATGGTGACTTCATGGTGAAGAGATAGTAAAGTAGTGGCAGCTCTATAGCTGATAAAGAGGGAGGGAAGGGGGGAAAGATCAGAAAACCAAGTGTTTTCCCTTTACAGCAGGAAAATAGAAGCTGAGCAGGAGAGAGTTGTGTTTTTTCCTGTATTATCTCATTCAGAGTTAAATTTTGTTCAGTCTTTGGCATCAGATATATCATGATTCAATACTGGCAACTATATTTTGTTTGATCATTGTTTTCCCTCTGTCAGTCTTTTTCTCATTTTTTCACTCTTGAGTATATGTCTGTTTTTATTTAGTCATTATTATGTTCTGAAATGCTTAATGGCCTTGGAGTAACTTCTAATATTTTTTTTTTTTTTTACATCCAAGGAATGTATACATTGCTTAAAAATAGAGCTACACACAACCCTCTTCACACAAAGTTTTGTTTAAGCACAGTTGTTATTTTTTGGTCTCTAGAGTCCTCTTTCTGTCCATAAATACACTTATGCCAAATACCTGGTGACTTGGGTGGAACTGACAGTGTTGAAAAAAGTATGGTGAAACAGTGGCAGAAAAAAATTGTGAAATAGGGCAGTGTGGGAGAGCCAAGATTAGGAGACCTTCCATTTATCTTAGACGATGCTTTCCTTGGCAAACTTCTTAGCAAGGCTGGGGAGGGAGAAGGAGGAAAGTCTTCCTCCAGCTTCCACAGTGGTTATATATTTATTGTGTCATTTAATCTAGTTCAGAGGAAGTTGAAATGAAACAAATCCAACAATAATAGGTGAATTTTGCTGTGGTGGTGAGGTCTATCTCTAAATAGTGGGTGTTAATAGAACCCTTTTTGGGAGGAACAGACCTTCTGGGAAAGTGGGGGGAGCTGGACCCAGCCAGTAGGCAGAGGGATTCAGTTACAGAGTGGAGCAGAGGAGGACTCAAATAAACTCCTTTCTGTCTGTCTTCCAGATCCCAAAGACACCTCAGGATCTCCCAGTGCTGCCAGTGAGTATATAGTTGTGACTGATGCTCAGTTCCATCCTACTCTGTCTGCCTCCTTTCTTCCCTTTGAGAGGTTCAAGGTTTGAACAAGAACCATGCTGAGTCCCTCTAGCTGCTCCCTTTTTGCTCCCTCAGCGCTGCAGTCCCTGAGGTGCAGGAGCACCTGCAGCAAAGAGAGGAACTGCCTTTCACACCCGTGGGGGCAGGAGGCACCAGGGCTGTTAGTTAGCATCCCTGCACCAGCAGCCTCGCATCACTCTGGGTGTGCTAAAGCCACAGCCCGCATCTCCACAACCCTTGAGCCGCCTCCATGCAAGACGTGAGTCCTGTAGATTGTTACCAGCTGGATTCATCTGCCCTCTGTGAAACAGTGATGTGAGTGGAGCAACCTGGCCAGTGTCCCTGCTTCTCTGAGCTGGCCTCACAGACCTATCCAAAGTGACTGATGCGTCCCCAGACTGTTAAGAGAGCAAAACCTGTCCCAGGGCCTCCAGGCACTGTTTTTTTCAGATCTGCTGAGCAGTCAGTCTGGTGTACAGGATAACACAGCATAAAGGTTTGATGCCACATGGCAATAGGCTGTGACATCCCTGCCAAATCCCACAACCTGAAGAGCCTGAAAGCAAGCACCTTCCTCGGCTGCTCCTGAGGGCTGCAGTCTCTCCTTACAGGTCACCTGGGACATAGGGATTTGCACACCTTGGGATGTCCACAGCTTTTTTGGCAAGTTGATGCTGGCAGAAATCTGTGTAGAAAATCCCTTTAATTCTCCCTTGTCTCTGCTTTCTCACACCTTAAAGGATAACATTGCTGCTGAGGAGCATGAAAGCTGGTATTTCTCCAGTGAGCCAATACAAACACAGATTGAGAAAGAAAAAAAAATGAAAAGAACGTTCAGGGAAAGGTGGTTATTTCTGGCAGCTCATTTACTGGCAGTTTCTGTGTAGTTGGTATTTTGATTCAGACTAAACCCCAGATTGCTAGAGAGAGGGTACCTCTTACCTGCCAAGTAGAAACACAAACACCCCACAATGATGGGGGAAGGGCACAAACCCCACTGTCTCCCCACAGGCAGAGGTCTTTCCTCTTGTGACAGTGACAGTTTGTAATTTTCCCTACCAAAATGTGTATTGGTGTGCAGCTGCTTGTGTTGCTGGTGTGCCAGCACCCGTGCACATCTCTGCTGGTGTGGGTCCATCCCATGGAGGGAGGCTGTACTGTGCTGTGCTGAACGCTGGCTGGGGATGGGCAGTGAAGTGGTATGTGGGGTGCTCCACAGCACCCCAGTGTTTGCACAACCACAAATCCAAGGCAGCAAATAAGCAACTGTACTGACACTGTGTGTTAGTGGAGGCCAGGGGCCAGTACTGTCATGGCAGAAAGGCCTCTTATGTTCTCCAAGTCCTGAACACCAGGATCTTTGCACCTCCTGGGTGTATTTCTCCTTGAGTGATGTTTGACATCATTATTTTATATCCTTCACCTTTCATGGAAGTTTGCACATGTGAGCTTTGGTATTTCCATGTGTCACCTGTTGCTTATGGCTCATTAAAGGCATTTTTAAAGGCCTGGTGGCTAGTATCACACATCATTCTCAGTCTAAGTCAAAATATAGAAAGGAAGTCAAGACTCTGAAGTTAAGTGGGCTAGGGACAGAGAGTTCCATTCCCTTCATTTTCTCCTTATTCATATTTTATGTTGTTACGGTTTTGCCTTCTGTACATTTGCTGTGGACTCACATCATGCTATGTGATAAAGGAATGGAGTTTATGACAGAAAAGGCCTTTGAGCCATGTAGATGTGCAGGTTGGAGTGAGGAGGGAGACCAGCTGTTGGGCTTTTAGTGGATAGTGGGGTGGTAAGAGATGAATGGGCAATAAGGATGGTTCATGGCAGTCATCTGCTTATGAAGTGAGTAGACTGCCCATTTTCAGAGGTTAGACTGATCTCTTTTTCATAGACAATGGCCCTGCATTTCTAACCTGCTGTGTCCTCTCTTGGTAGGCATCAAGATTACAAAGGAAGTTGCCAATGCCTTTGTGAAGAGGCAGAAAAGATACCACCTGTATAAACGGTAACAACTCACGAGTCAGGCTGAGAGCTGGACTCTGGACTTGTTCTGAAGAGGGGATGGGAAGGCAACAGGACATGACAAGGCATTAATTTGTTGTACATCTATATTATTACCTTCATGTGTTGAAGCAAAAAGGCTATAGGAGACACTTACTGATAGATAAATGGTTCTTTTTTCTTAAATATCCTTTTGAGAGCTCATAGCTGGACTCTGATATTCCTCCCAGGGAGGAAGACAGCACTATCTGTCTGGGTTAGCCACGGGGACACCAAAATACAAATTGGAAGCTGCTCTAAATTGCAGGGTCATTAGAGTCAGTTTCCAGGATAGTGAGCATCACCAGAGCCTTGGTCATTGTCTCTGGCTCCCTACAAAGGAAGCACAGCTCTGTTACAGAGATGAGACTAGATCAGAATGGCTGTTCTTTCTAAAGCTGTACATCCTACAGCCATTTGTGCAGAAATCATAGGCACAAAGATTTGGAGAAATCTTAGCTATAAACATATGGAGAAATTTGAGGTCATTCAAGAATGTTTTTCACCTATTTCCTGGAAGAGGTTCTTAAGTCACTTCCTGTGCAAAAAGAATTTTTATTCAATCCGTCTTTGGATTGGAAGGATAATATTGTTTTTTAGATATTAAAAGATTGGGAGGCCCCATCTCTGGAAGACAGGATCAGAGTATTGTAGCTGAGGAACTGGCTGATGTTGAAACCTGCAGTGAATAAAACAAGATGAAATTCAGTAGTAGCAACTGTACTGGCTGTACTGACTACCCCCTTACAGGTGGGGCATCATAAAAGTAACTTCTGCTGTAAGCATTAATCAGGAAGGACTGAGGTAGGCAAACAGCTCAGGGTATTATTTGGTCACAAGGTAAGGTTAGTCTGGAAATACGGATGCAACAAATGGAATTCAAGGGTGCTACATTCCATACAGAAATAAAGTAACAATTAATGAGATACTGGTGAGACTTCTCCTGTAGCATTGTGTACAATCATCAGGAAAGATTAACCAGACCTGAACAGGAGTTGAGAAGGACATCCAGAGTGTATAGCTGAGACTAAAAGATTTGGGCTTGCTTAGCTGAATGGGCATAGCATTGCTGTCAACAACAGAAGTGAGGATGATTAGAGGAAACTCCTTAAGCTAAAGGAAAATAGTGGCTAGAGGGAAACTGGGAGCAAATAAAAGTAAGAAGGTAATAAATAAATAAATAAATGACAGCAAAAAAGATTCCTGGGTAGTTGGTGAATAAGGTTAGGGACAGAAAGCCCCCAACACGAACTGCTTTTGTGGTCTCCTTTGATGATAAAACTTCAAGAGCAATTACTTTCAGTTGGGTTCAGTTCCAAGTTTTCCCAGCATTAACCAAGTAGTCTACCCTCATGTAAGTAGATGTTTAACTCACCATGAGAAGTCCCCTGTTGGGGCATCCTGGAGAATCACTCTTCTCTCATGTTAGTTTCATGGTGTGAAACCTCTCCAATTACATCAACTGAATCTGCAGAGTGACACATCTCTCTTTGTCTACTCCAGGTTCTCTCAGCATTATCCAAATTCAATGGAGCAGTTGCATGAGCGTTGTGAAAACTTCCCACCCTGTGGCTATCTCGCTGACCAGATAGGATTTTCCATGGCTTACAACCATTTCTATGGGAGATACTAAGGATGGGATGGTCCCGTCATTCATTTTGCTTGAGACCAGCCTGAACCCCCCAGGAGAAAGAAAGTTGTGGGTGGGAAGGAAGGAAGAAGACTGAAGTCTTCTTCTTTTTCATCCCTAGCCAGCTGGAATGCCAAGGCAATAATTATCTTACTTGTTGAGCTTGCATTAGCTTTCTTCCTTTCATCAGAAATGTTTCTCTCCAGTCATCTTTTACGGTATTTTGAGCTTCACCAGAAGTGATTGAGAAGACTCTGTCTTAACCTTCTTTCATGTGAACCCTCACAATTCAGTAAGTGAAAAAACTGTGATTCCTCTCAAGAAAAACAGCGTATGTCTTAGAAACATAACAAGACCTTTTGTCCTCTTCCACAAAATGCAGGAGGATTACAGAAGGAGAAGGTCACAACATGTGTAAATGTGATGGTTCTGATCCCGGGATGCTCACTTGGAAGAAGGCAGAATGGCTGCCTCCTGGTACAATGACTGGGAAAGTTCAGTATTTTCAGGTAGTATAATCACCTTAAATATGTGCCAGTGTAGGATTGTAAAGATAGAAGTGTGGAAACACTACTACATAGCCAGAAATCAGGATCTGGTATACTTTTCTGATTATTCTGTGGCAAAATTTGCCTGTATAGCAACAACAGATAAATCCCAAAATGTGTGTTTAAGGAGTCCTTTTAGATGAGCCCTTCCAGCTGCATTCCATGGCTGTCTGTAAAAAGTAACTTGAAAATCTCTTGGTTTTATCACAAGTGTTTTCTGGTGAAACTGAATATGTCCAAGCAGAACAACAACAAAAAAAATCTGTTCCTCTCTGATGCTTTAGCATTTATGCTTGAAAGTAAAAGTGTCTAAACAGGTACAAAAAAAAAAAAAAACAAAGAAAAAAAAAAAGCAATAAACTTTATGAAATAAAACCTAAATTGGTTAAGGACGGATTGAAGTTGGGTCAGCATTTGATTTATTCAAGGCATGTTGTATCTTTCCCATACATCTATTAAAAAGAAAAAAGAAAAAAGGTATGTGCATTTATATACATATCCTCTTCCTTCTGTACTACTTCATTCTGTCCTCCGGTATGAATATTATATCTTAACAACTTTTTGCAGCGCCTCTCTTGATGTGTTTTGTCAGCCTTCCTTCCCTGAGAGGTGGATGGTAGATCCCATCTCCAAGGACAGGGACTGCTCACTCTCAGGAGACCAAGAAAGACCAAATCTCTCTGGTTGCGTGTAAGCTTGTTCAGCCATCCCCAGCTGCTGACTGCAATAAATACTGCTTATGTAAAGCAGGTTGGTGTGCTGCTTCTCTCTGTTCCTCTGTACAACCTTTATCTGCAGTTAGGGATGCCTAGAAGATAAAGCTTGCTCCTATGAACCCCAAAGAACAGGATCCAAGTGCGTGAGGCTTCCTATTCCCCTCCTGTGCACCCGTGTGAATAAGAAGTGACTATGTTGAAATTTAGGTCATGATTCCAGTACACCATGGCAATGAGGGAAAAGAGGGCCAGGCTTTTCCTGATCCACCACTACCGAGTTCAACATTTCTCTGAAAGACCTTGCCCTGAAGTAAGGACACAAGATAAGTCCCCAGATATGGCTGCCCGTGTGAGTGTGAACATCTCTTGTTTAGGAAGCTGTTATGACTTGCAATGCCTATGCTGACCTTGGCCAAAGAGAAGACAGTTAATAAGTACCTCTGCTTGTCTTGGTCAAACACCTGGGACTGGTTCCCCTATCAGCATAAACTGATGGGGCTTCACTGCTCACAGCACAACTCTCCTCTGAACACCATCTAGTAAAAATGAATGAAGTGCTCATTGAAAGCAGTGAAAATTTTGCTGGGAAAGATGCTAGAGATTAGTGAAATTCTAATATCTGTTGTATGAACAAGTTAGGGGTTTTGTTGTTGCTGTACAGTTTTGTTCACACAAAAAGAAAATCAAGCTTCCTGTCTGTATTTGCATCTTTCTGTTAGTTTTGCATTTTTCTCTCCCTTTCAGTAAATATTTTCTTCACGTTGCACATGAAGGCGTCAATCATGTCATTTGTTCTGTGTCACCAGATCTCTAGATGGGCTGAAGTCAGTACAACCTTTGGGGACTTGAACACACAAATGACGATACAAATTTACTGCTGGAATGTAGGAACTTGATTTTTGCCTGGTTAATGCAGATTTAAGTACCACTACAAGTCCTCTGCTGACATCTTATGGCCATTGCATTTCTTGTATTTAATAATACACTATGTTGCTTTTGAAGCATTTGAAAATGGAAATCCAGTGGGCCTTATTCCTCATTTACTTCCTACTACAACATACACTAAGAGTCCAGAAGGGAAAAATAGGGATATAATCTGTAACTGGATTATATGAAGCTGAATTGACATTTTAGTGGGGCTGTTTATCCTGATTGTCAGGTTCCCACTGAAACATGTCACAGTTTAGCTCCTTTTTATCTCTACACGAACAGGAGAGGAGATGCCTCTGAATAAATTCACAAGCCCTTCTGTGGACTCACTTTTAACAGTCAGAGAACACTTTCTGAAATACAGCCCAAGACGATAGAGCAATTCCAAGGAGAAGTAGGTAGGCTGCATTTATCACTTTGCATCATCCTTCATGTCATCATCTCTCATCACCAGTGGCTGCAGATATTGTCAGCAGCATCAGCTGGTGCAGTGTTATAGATCACTTTGAAAGCAACCTACTAGGAGACCTTTATGTCATCTCTCACCCTGTTTCAACAATATTTGGCAAATGTTCTCTGCTCACAAAATCCAAGCAGCTGCACAGACATCTCTTTTCCCAGGGACTCACAACACTACAAGTGCCTCCCTCGCCCAGCCTATTACTAGCAGGCAATGGAAAATGGACTTCACTTCTCTGTAGTCAGAAGGAGGCTCTGACACCTCTTCTTGGTTATTTTTTTTCATGTAGAAGAGTTGTCAGAGGCCATGAGGCTTTGTAACTCACTGCCCTTTATCAAGAAGGGTGACTGGAAAGCAGCTACTATAGAGGGGTTAGTCTCAGTATAGAATCTGTATTTACACACTTGTTCTGAGTGTACCCAATGTAAAAGGTTCAACATGGTGCCACTCTGCAGTGGTGTAAGGGTAGGAATGGCAGAACGTTATTAGAAACCAGGGGGAGCTGAGGAGAGGGACAGTTACATTATCTCTGCTGCCAGATGGGATCCCAACCTACTCTGCATTTCTGTGTTGGCTTTATCAGAGCTCTGCACTTTAGAAGGGCTTTTTAAGCTCTTGACCAAGCTCTCCACCACATCCTGACACCTCCCTCCTTGGGAGAGAACTGCTTCAGACTTCTCCAAGCCAGAGTTTTCTTCCTTTTTGCAAGAGCAGGAACACCAGATACCTTGGAATTCAGAGCACTATCAAGGTGAAGGACACCTACACCAGCTGGAGTTGGTGCAACCAGACCCTTCCTTATGGATTGTAGGCACACTTCTACCAGTAAATTGTCTGTTGGGATTGATTAATGACTTATGAATGGCTGTAAGAATCTGGTGAACGGTCTTTGGTTGAAGAATCGTCAACAAAACCTGAGTACAAATTACAAACTGCAGAATTTTCCAGATCAAGAAAAAAGGGAAAGAAACAGATGTAAATGACCTCTACTTGAGCAAAATGTTTACAGTATCTTGGGTGGACTCTAGGATGCCAGTCCTGCTGGTCAGCCTTTTGTTGCTAATCTTGCAAATGCTGGTAAAAGAGGTAAACACTGATCTTTATCTGAAATGGTGAAATTTCTTATCCCACTGAAATAAACTTTTTTTTTTTTTTTTTTTTCTTCTCCCTCATTTGAAACATGTTCTTTAAGGAGCTTTGGGTTCAGTTTTAACTATTCTGCTTTCAGTTGCTCTGTGCCATTTCTTACCTGTCCTAATCCCTTTTAACTACCTGGTTGGAAATTTCCTCTCATTTGGAGCCAGATGGTTTCCCAGGCAATGTCTGTGAGTAGATCTCATGGAATTGTTCCTCTCCTTTTCCAGCCTGCCTCAGACAGGGCTGACAAAATCAAAATGTTGTGGCACGGTAACAATATATCTCTATTACTTGTGACTGCCTTTTAACTTTCCCTCAAAGCAATTATGGTATAATAGAGAAATAAAATGAATTCCTGTATAGTTTATGGGCCAGAAGCTAAGAAAGGTATCAATTTGGATATGTGTATAGGATGAATACTTGAGATTAAGTGAATATCTACTTGTAGAATTCAACTAATTATCAACCAATTACAATATTTGACTAGTCTACTAGGAGACCAAAAAGCAAAAAGAATACCACCATAACTCATACCATTTATTATATCTTATTACACTAGGTTTTTATTAATTAGAAATGTTAGAAACAGATAATTATTGTGCCATTTCATAGGCAGAATATATTAGAGGTTATTCTCCTGTTATAGCACCCAGTAGTGTAAATCCTTACTCATGTTCACTGAACATCATTCTCTTGGGCCAAAACATGTCTGAGAGGTATGACAAGACAGGAAGAAGAAATTCAGCTCTGAGAGTGTTCAGGCTGCACTGTCCCTAGCACATAGTTTTCCTTACTCCTTCCCTCTTCAAAATCACTTCTTAATCATGAGCAGAATATTGAAATAAATGGATCATGGGTCTACCCTGCAGGGTCTATACCCTCGCCCTCTGAAGGGCCAACTCTCCTGAAGCTTTTAATGCCACCGATCCACACCAAATAAGAACTCTGGCATCCTGGCTGGCATTTGCCTGAGGTGGGACTTGGACAATATCCTGAAGTTTCTCAGGAAGGTCTTGTCAAAGATGCTTACCTGCAGTACTTGCTCTGCCAGTAGTGACAAAGAGGCAAGAAGAGTGTAGGGGAAAACTTGGCTTGCATCCATAGAGATGTACATAAAGTTCACACTAATTATGCTAATCTTCTTTTGCTTTTATGTTGCAGGTTGTGTCCCACCTGATGATGGATATGGCTCTGCATTCCTTTGATGACCAGTATCTGGGGTGCAGAGAGCAGGTGATGAAAGAACTGGAGAGAGGGCACTATTTCCAAAAGGAAATAGCTGCTAACAAGGATTATTTGAGTCTCTGGAAGAAGGCTCAGGAGGCTCTGTTAAAGAGGCCTGTAGGTCTTCTGAGGGAGATGCATGAAAGCCATGCCATAGTCCTCATGGCTTACACCATGAATTCTTCCCTGCACTCTCAGCTGAACCAGGCCACATCTACAGCAGGAAGGTCTCTAGAACACTACAGACACAATTTCAGTTTCAAATATTTTCACTTTTACCTAACGACTGCTATCCAGATAATGAAACAATGGCAGAGTAGCAAGGAGAGCATGGGGAAACGTAAGTGTTACCGGGTGCATAGGGGTGTAAAAGACTTGTCTATTGAGGCCATGGTAGGCAGCAGGGTGCGATTTGGACGTTTCACCTCCACCTCCCGCCTCTGGAATGAAGCCCAGAAGTTTGGGAATAAAACTTTGTTCACAGTGACCACTTGCCTGGGAGCAGCTGTGCAAGGCTTTTCTTACTACACATCTGAGAAGGAAGTCCTCATTCCCCCTTACGAGATATTCCTTGTCAAAAGCTTCTTTCAGACACAGCATGGTAACCGGTTGCATCTACATTCTGTGGGGAACTACAGCAAGTACCACTGCCAGCTCGTGGAAGGTACTGTATATAGCGTTTCATGCAGGGGGGTGCAGGACAGTCTGGTCTCAAGTACCCCAGGCAGCCCTCACAGGCTGCACCTACATGGGACCACACTCAAGCCCAAATCTGTAGCTTGCCTGCTGTGTTCGCCTACGAGAGTCACATGACCCAGTTTTCACCTGTTGTGAAACCTGAGGGCACCCCACAGCTCACTAAAGATGAATCCACCTGATACACAGCAGGTCTCAGGATTCTTTGCAGCCTCCATTTACCCCATCTGCTATTGCAAGGATCTTGCAGGACACGTGCAATTTGCGTCCCCAGCATTCCTATTGCAAGGGCAGATGACATTTGCAGGTAGCTTGAATTCAGATATTTATTCTGGTGGCTTTCAAGGCTGATACACTTCAGGCCTAAGAACTATTCTGGGCTTTGGTCCACTACTATCTGGCAAGCTCAGGTAAGTATAGATAAAACTACTGCTGCTTTAGTGGTGTTCTCTCTCCTGCGGCAGAAGGCAGGAAAGGTATCCTTTGGAGAAGCACACACTGGGAGTTTCCTGGCTATAGACATCATTCTGTGCAGGAAGACCTCACTGGGCCTGTTCCACATCCCAGTCCTTCTGTGATTCTGCCACTAATATGGGACTCTTGCTTTACTCCCTACGGGCAATAGAGTGTCAATGCAACCTTTGAGCACAAATCAATCATTCAAGAATGAGAGTTTGTGCCTGGACCTAAGCCAAAGTAGTAGGTGGACTTGAGAAAATGGCTCTTCTGGGCAAAGACTGTGTTAGCAAGTGTAGGAAGCTTTAAGGAGACAAAAGAGGTCTAAATGACTGCTTTCTTGACTTTCAGCTTCAAGAAGTAAGAACAGTGGTTCCACTGCCTTCACCTCTGCCGTTCTTAGTGTAGTTGGAGTTTTCATGTGCTTGGCCCGCGATGACTGATTCTTTGGCTGCATCCAGATATAAACACTTGAACAAGAAGAATTCAGAGGAAATCAGCATCTGGAGTTCCTGTTGTTACGGAAGGTTCAACATTCCCTTTGCTTTCAGCTGCAGCTCTCCAGCTAAGACTGGAACATTCAGCCTAGTTCATCAAACTAGACATTCACTGGGCCCATTCAGGTAGGAGAGCAGCTATCTCTGGCCTTTCTGAAGAATAGGGCAGTGACACCCTTCACTGTAGGTAGATCTTCCCTTAGGCATTCAGAAAAGACACACATGGACTTTGGATTCTTTACAGATATCTTAGTACCTGTATTTTTCGTGAAAGAGTCTATCTGTGGGATACAAAAGGCACCATAGTGCTAGAGTTGAGTGGGTTACTGTGCAGCTTTGCATATCTCCTCTGAGAGTGAGGTCCCAGGGAACAGGGGATCAAAGTCTGAGGCTGCTACGTAGCAGTCTTTCCCCACTACATGACCCCATGCACCAAAGGCATAACTCTCATCTCAAGCTGACAGTCAGCATCTCACTCATGGGGGACAGAAGCATAAAGTTGCCTTGAGACATGAACTTAGGAGCAGAGGATCATGACACTTTTCAGGCCTGTTTTCAGCTTTCATGTTCCACTTTGACATTTCTTCTGAAAAACTTGGACAGTGCTGGTCATTTCACGCTGAAATAAAAGACAGCCTGTGGAGCCCACTGCTGTCTTCATGGATGTTGGATGTGACTGAAATTCACTTACCTGTCTTTCTACTTCCCTGGTCTGCAACATCTAATGCTGGAGATTGAATCAACATCACAAATTGGAATTGGAATTTCCGATTTAGCTATAGACTCCTCTTACTTTTATGTGTTCACTTAGCACTTCTGGAGCCTTAGACACCCAAGGCAGCTATGAAGTTCTCTCATCTCCAAAAAAGAACAGTGTGGAAATGATAAGAGACTTTTTCTGCCTGCAGTTCCCCTTTCCAACATGCCTTGTCTGCTTCTTCACCCCTGGTCCCTCACCCACACTGATGCTAACCCTGGGACAAGGCTAAGGTCAGAGAGGTTATCTCACTGGCCCAAGGAGACTAGTCATGGTGATTTAACTTTCAGTGGAGTCATCAAATAATTGAACTGAAATTCACAGACACATTTTGCAGATGAACCCAGCTTTCAGTCATTGCTGATCTTGGCAGGAAGCTGGAGTTCTGTATTCACCACTCCCTGTCTGAAACAGTAAGCAACAAGTTAGCTATCTGTCCTGGGATCTAAACATAAGAGGACTGCACAAGTTGCTGATCAGCAGGTTAGTCAAAAGGACAGCCAAAAGCACCTGTGTGAACTGCTTGACCCTCAGAGCAGCTCCTTGTAAGTTTGGTGCTGCCATTCCCTTAGAAATCCTATGGCAAGGAATGCAGAAATTGGGCACATGAGAAATATTAGCATTAGAAATGTAGGCACTAAAGGAATCTGGATGTCTTCAGGTTTTAAACAGATTAAATGAAGGAGTTTGAGACTCAGCATCTTGTGTATCAGATTTAGGTGTCTATAATGACAAAGGCCACCAGCTAATCATCTAAAACCTAGTAACATGTTCTGTGAAACTGAACTACTGTCCCTGAAATCCTGAGATATGCTTGCCCAGGCAGCTAAAACAGATTTAATACCAAATTATTTTACTATTAGCTTATTTGCTATCTATATTTCATTTCATTTTCTTGTTGCCTTTGGTTTACCAGTGATTTCAAATAATAAGTTGTCAGAACTTGATTTTGATCCCTAAATGATCAAAGATACTAATGAAAAGATTAGAAGCAACTGCTGCAGATACCTCTTCTCTGTGTGTGTGTGTGTGTGTGTTCAAACATGCTTAAACTCTTTCTTATGTGAGAATTACAAGAATCAAGATGGATTTCTGACTCATCAGCACATTTATGTCTCTCTCTGCTTATCTGTTATCGCTAGGATGCAAGCTTCAACCATTTTAACAAAGGTTTGGAATTCTTCACAAGGTGGCTTCAGCACCCTAAAAGCCTCCTCTAAGTAGTCAGCGGCTATTTTCAGGCTTTTCTTTATGGATCCGTGTTCTTGAAGGATAGCTTGTAGGAAAATTAAAAGTGAAGAGGAGGAGGGTAGAGAGTGAAGCCTGGGTTGTTGTGATGTTCCACTCAAGGAGGAACTGCCTTCTGTGGTACTTGGTGTCTTATTTTGTTGCATCATCTTCACAATATCAGCATAATCCATGAGAAGTTCTGATACTTGAAGGGATAAGGCAGGTGAACTCAATAACTGGTGAATAGCAGACTCTACTGCGTCAGGGAAATTGTCATGTTTCAACATCACTGCAACGAGTACACCCATGATGTTTTCTACAACCCCCTTGTAATTCTCATAAAGTTCTTTTACTGCAGTGATCTTGTCCTGCAGTGATGTGACGGGACCAGCAGTCTTGGCATAGAAACTCTGGCTGATGCTTTCCTGTACATCTTTGTCTTTTGTTTCCATGTTGGCTTGCATCTCTTTCAAGGCACTGACCAGCATCTGCAGATTCTCTTTAATGCTGAAGTTTTCTTTTACTGACATGATGGGGAAGTTGATGCCAAGATGCGCATTGAGTAGTCGGGATATTGTGTTGTTTGAAGAGACATAGATGTACACTAAGTCATGCAGATCGTGGCAGGTCTTGACTAGTCTTCCTTTATCACTCTTCAAACCGAAGCGAGATAACATTTCTGGAGCCAGGTCTGACTCTGAAAAGCAAACAGAGGAAATCCAGAAGATACAGGGGAATAAAACTGGATATATTTTCAGCTAGAACATTATATTTCTGAAATCGATATTAAAAATTATCACCCCACTTGACTCACCCTCCCCCAAGACATTACAGTTAGAAGAAAACACAGAAAAAGCTCTTTGTCAGGTTTTGCAGGGGTCTTACTAAAAAGGCCAGCAAACTATGGTGTAAACAGTTGCAAGTAGTGTTACTATTATGGTTGCAGGAAGTATGACTATGACCTTCAGCATGGAATCTGAAAAGCAAAGCAAGTGCTGTAAGTGAATTATTCTTGCATTTTGGTGTTTATTGGTAAATTTATGGGAGTCCTGGCAAACAATCTACTTTACATCATACTTAGAAATATAATCCTTCAGTTTGTACATACTGATGGGTCTACAACTCAAATTCTGGGGAGGAGGGAATAGATACAATAACGTCAAATGTATCAGACATCTACATTCAAGAGACGAAGCAACTGAAGATTGAGTAATGCAATGTTTTGCATTTGTAGCAATAGGCTACAGTTTCCTATGAAATGACCCATCTCTGTCAGTTCATAGAGAAGCTAAATGTTGCAAGCATCTCTTGATAGGTGGAAGCACAAAACATTCTCCTTGCTTGGGCTCCTGTTTTGCTACTGCTTTGACCACTAAGGAAGTTATGTCCTCCTTCTTGCATCTAAAAGTTCTCCCAAGGCCAAAAGCAGATACAGTACTGGGACAGCACGAAGCTGAGGGACTGCTCCTGATGTTGCCTTTCCTTGTGCCAGAGCCCTGGAAAGCCAGTCTGGCAGCAGATATATTTCATCAGCTATTGCTGTGGTTAGATGTGCAGTTAGATGTGTTCAAAGAGGTACAACTTCCCATCCCACTTCATACTTTTTAAGACTTTTATCTCAGTGCTCAGTCAAACCCTCTGCCTCTTTCTCCTTTCCCTTCCCATGGCAAATCTGACCTGGTTTGAGATTTTAGGAAATAGCAAAATTGATTTTAGCCTCCACTGAGGTTCAGCCAGATCTGGCTCTGGGGCTCCACATCACTTATTCCATTCTCATGGCATCAGAGGAGAGGACCTGGCAAATTGCAGCAAGGAAGGGTGACAGGCACTCCAGATTAAGTCCTTCCTCCAGAATTAATAGGTCTGAAACAATAGCTGTTAATCTTCTTTAAAGACCTGGAGTGAAGCAGGAGCAAAACAGCTTGCTTATCATTTAAGTGATATTCTGGTCATGTTCCAAGTGATATACTCTAGAAGAAAAGAATTCACGCCCGCTGAAAACTTTGAGGACCTGAAATCAGTTTCTAGACTGCAGAATATGACACAGAGGCAGTTGCCAGACTGATCAGTTCAATTCAATCCAATATTAGAAGTATTTCAGGACTACATGACAATCTCAGATAATAACAGGAGTCACAACTAATTGACAGTTGAAGAAATGTAATAGTTAATTCATTAGTGTTCTCTCTTAGCTCCTCATACTTACAGTGCTGAAAACAAGGAGAGTTGGGTATTCTGGTTCTGGGTTGAATGCAATAGCTCAGCTTTCAAGAGAAATCAAGTTGGCAATTTCAGAGTACTCATTTTATGCTTGATCTTTTACTTTTGTTTGAGAATCCAACCATTCTCTCTTCTGGGGAGGCAACATTCATGACCAGAGACTAGTGAGCAGCACATTCATCTTTCTAAGGATCAGAACATGAAAGATATCTAGCCTGGATGAAGGCAGAAGTACAAGCTTGTCTTGCCATGACAGGCAAAGCGTGTTTTCACTGTCTGTGGTATCTATTTTTCAATTTGTATAGGACTGTTCAACTTTTCTTCCATAATTTGCAGGTGTATGAAACTGTCCATGTCAAGATTAATTATTTCAAGGAATCGCTGCAAGCATTAGTGTTTACTGTTTATTCTTATAAACAATAGAAATTTATAAATCCCAGTGCAAAACCTAATCCTGTATCTGTATAAATGAAAACTGCTGTCCTACATGTTTTATGTTCTGCGAACAGCAAGTAATACCATCCCCTTTCAGCCACGAGGTTCCTGTGATGGTATCTTTGTCGTAGGCAGGGTGATTAATGCTGTACCTATACTCTCCAGGAACAGAGGGACTTTGGAGGATCTAACAATTGGGAACTAGCATTAAATAATTTGAAATCTGTTAAAATTAGAAGGAAGGGGAAAAGAAGAAGAAAGTGAGATGAATCTGGGTAAACATCACAGAGTAGAATTAATGACAAGCAGGCAGGCAACAGGACCCAGCTGAATCCCAGCCTCTGGATCTCTAGCTCATCACATGCTGCTGGAAACCACCAGAGGAACACAGGGGAAAGAGGATGAAGTCATTGTCCCATACACATTTCAGCTGATTGCAGGAGCACTCAGACAAAATCAGGTAGGCAGTCTAAATGTTTAATTAGAAAAGTTTCTGGAGAAAATAACGCTGGAGATGGAGAAATAGTCAGAAATATGGAAATATATGTGGCCTGCCTAACTCTAGAAAGCAAATGTAAAAACTAGCCAAGTGTTAATGTGAAGAGTAAAAGGTAATTTTAGCATTATGAGGCATAAAATCTAGAGCAATTATAAGAAGCTGAAGTAATCATGCATAAAGAATAGATGCTAAAAGTTTCCTCCACACCTGCCTAATACGCAAAATGTTTGTTGAAGTGCTATTCCCCTTATAACATCTTGTCTTCTCAGTTTCTACAAATAAGGAAAAATAAAAGACCTTTCAACAAAACATCACTGGCATAGAAAGGATCTAATATCTCACTGAGTCAGAGAGGAAGTCAGCAAGAACCCTGAGGCAGGACTGATATGAAATCATACCTTGCATTGACATGGCTTTATATTTCCTGAAAATCACAAACCTTACTGTATATGTACTTTTTTCCCTCCAGCTTGGAGAGAAAGAAAGATGTGTTAAAGAGTGTATTGTCTTGACAGAGCTATAAGGTAAGTGGCTGAAAGAAATGTACAGTGCTGTGCTTTAAAATATTGTGGAAAAAAAATCTTCAAACTGGCTTGTATTTCAACACTCAGACTAAAAGTTGGTAGGGGACGGTTGAAATCATTCTGTTTTTCTACAGTGATCTTGGGGTGTGGTGTGTTCAGTAAAATACAGCTGGGTCAGTGCCAGATGATTTGTAGTTAGCAGATAATGCAAGAACTACAAAGGACCAAATGACACAAAGGTATCTTTTTAAGAAGCAAAAGCTAGTTAGTCCCCTACACATAACTAGTTGTAGTGATAACTGTGTTATGTAGGCACAACGGCAAGAAGAGCTTTATCTTGGAAAAATGAGAAGCACTGCATAAAGGTGGCCCAGATTTGCAATAAGAGGGCTGAGAAAGCAAACATACCAACAAAGAAACAAGTTATCATACTCATTCATAGTCTGCCCATGTTGCAAAGTAAGACATATTCATTTAAGTCAAAATCATGCTAAAGCATTTTTACTTTGCTGCTGGTGATGGGTTAAAGGCAAGTGTTACAGAGCTGGTTACAGAAGCTTAGTGATGAGGAGTAACTCCATGATCACTGGTAACTCAGTCACTTTGGACTTTACAGGTAACGAAGAAGAATGTATTAAATATGTCCTCTTGCTGGCAAACCAGTGACAGCTGAGATGAACACTGACCATAAGGATTAGATACATGAGTTTGTGGGGGAGGAATCAAAGAAGTTAAATTTTGTGCTCTGGTCTGTACAGAGATAAGGGAGGGCCAGATTCTGCTCAGTCATGTTCCAGGAGCTTGGGGATCACCTGCTGATATTAGCTCCACACAGGACAGCCTGGGTATGGTATGGAAGCAGTGTGGATGCACAAGCAGGGCTTTCCCTGCAAGCTGGTGTGTGCTGCTCCAAGGCAATCTGCCATCACAGGCATCCTGCTGGAGTAGGTGCACCTCACGGTGCTTACACGGCATGCTGAGCATCACGGGGCTGTCTGCTCGATGTTCACGAGTCAAAAAACAATGAGGAATTGATGACAGCATTAGGGAGGTGAATAAACAATGAGGGAACAGTGGATAAATACCAGGGAAGGAAACACAGAGAGAGATTTGTGTAACGTGATATAGGTTAGGATGGGTTTATCATAGTAAAAAAAATTACCAGTTTTAAAGAAAATTTATTTATTTTACTATTCTCTATGAATTCCCGAGTGTGAGTTTATTAGTATAAGCACAGAGTGCTTATACAGTGATGTTTTCTCTTGACTGTAAGGAGAAATAAGCTAAACTGGCATAAAACACCCTTATGGTGATACAGTCTGTGCCCACTCCACTGGTCATCACAGTTGTTTAGAAATCAAATGTCACTAACCGAACAAAATAGGCTGATACAAAAGTGTGCCTAGAACGGGCCTTTCATTTCCACAGCTTATTTTTGGTTTTGCTGATTAGATGAGATTGTTCTGTTTTTCAGTGAACTAGTTCAGCTTCTATCATCAGTTTCCAAGGTAAAGAAATGTTCATTTTACCAATCTGCTAATTACATATTTGTTAACTATTTTTGTTGCTCTGGGTATGTCCAATATCTCTAATATAAGGTCCTTTCCTAACCATTTGGCTAAAGATCTAAAACAAGAATTAACATTTCTACACTTACAAGCTATGCCTTGGGATTTGACTTGCTGCGTATAAAACAAACCAGTGAGGCAGAAACAAAGGTCATTGCACAGCTCTTTAAGGGCTAGGGTTATGGGTGTTGAACAGACTAAGAGATTTCTTTTCTCTCTTGAAGTAGCCTATTTCTGAAGAATGGCACTGAGCGACCTCCTTTACCCAGATAACCCCAAGAGAAGGCAAGAATTGATCCATCTGCACCAGGAATTGCTCGACTGCATGTCCACAAATTTCTGTGCAACAAATGAACTAGCTAGAGTGCTGAATGAACACCTGGGCTGTACCATTACCCACATTCAGATGAGAGAGAGCAGCACTGTCAAGGAAAACTGTGACATTATCATTCAAGCGATGAGTGAGATTCAGTGTCAGGTACAGAAGATTGATAGTGACATGAGAGAAAAGCTAGAGCCTGTGTTGTACCAGAAGCTGTATGACATCAAAGAGCCTGAGCTGGAGAAAATTGCAATAGCCCATAAAGTTTTTTCCATTATTCTTGGAGAGGCAACTTCAACAGCTGGGATGGTAGCTATCAAACTTCTTGGGTCCAGTCTTATAACTCTCACTGTGAGCAAGCTCGTCAGTCTCCTTGCACAGATCGGGGCATCTGTTCTTGGAGGAATCAGCATCACCATTCTTGGGCTTGGCATTGAAATGATCCTCCACGCCATCCTGGGAGCTGTGGAGAGGAATCAGCTTCTGACAGCTGTGAGAAGCTACGAGAAGCACCTGGCTGAGTTTAAAGCTGCCTCAGAAAAATACCAGCGCATCATACGTGAAGTGACTTCTTTGGTGAGACAGCAGGTTCAGTGAATTGGAGTTCTCTCCCCTGCTGTGACAGTGGCTGCAGTGAGTATGCCTGCAGAAACCTTTTTGATTCATTATGATAAATAAACTACCAATGGCTTTTTTTCTTATTAGTGGCAGCAGAACAAGAGATGTGACAGAACAGGGAATTGGCACCAAAATATATTAATAGGGAAGTGGTTTATAGGTGCTTCTGGGAGGCAACGCTTCAAATACTTCGCAGCTTTCCTTCAGCTGTTTTCTGGAATATATTGTAGATAACTTTGAACTGCAGTTCCTGCTACTGATAATAATATTCACTGCTGGAGCAATAGGGGTGAGGTGTGACTTTTTTCTTACTGTGTTTCTATATCAAAGATGACAACATGATGGGAGAAAACAATTTCAATAAGCCAGTCCATGTCATTTGGAGGGCTCATCAGGACAGCTGTGGTTGCTCAAATCTTAGTGTGGATTAGTGCTAAATCTGGTAGACTGAATTCCCTGTTCACTGAACTGCTTACAAGGACTAGCTGAAGCATATTCAACTGCTATTTTCTGTCCCATCCCTGCCTAGGGAGACAGCTAGAGATCTTTAAATAAACTCTAATCCCAGTAGATTAGCAGGTAAGAGAAGCATAGGCCTACAGGCAAACACACACAACATTGCCCCACAACAGAGAGAAACCAGCTGTAGTGTTCCAGGCATGCCTGGCTGTGAATAACCTCTTGTGCTCAGTAATACCCCACTCCTGTCAACACACAGGTAAATATTTCTGTGCGCAGTTGCTGATCTGTTGATTGAAATGGGATTATACACGTGTACAAGCATCTATAGGATTGTAGCCCTCTAATACACTAAATTTATTTCCATGTGCTTTACCTGATCCCATTAATGAGGAACTGCCAGGAGTGTGCTCAGATTCTGCATTTCACAATATGCTACCAAATATCCTTATTTTTCAGATTTTAAAAACAAAGCTGGAAGTAAGAACATGATTTGCAGTCTCTTGCTCTGCCTTTCTGTGGTTTGCTTTTTGTGCTTTGATCTTTGGGGGAAAAAAAAAAAAGGTGATTTAAGAATTAATAAAAATGTACCTGAATATTGTAAGACCTCTCTTTCCTGAACTTGGTTTGTTTTTTTTTTTTTGTTTTTTTGTTGCTGTCTGAAAACCCAATCTTAAACCAAATAATGAAAAAATATTAAAATATTTATTATAGATCAAATTTATAAATTCTTTTTTTTTTATATTCATGATAGACTAATCCAGTACGATTGTGTATAGGTTCCCTTTTTAAGTACCAGCTTCCCACACACTAAAAGCATACTTGAATTCATATTTATTAATATTCAATATTAGCAATATTGTAGTATTAACTAGATCATGCCTGTGAAAGTAAAGATATGGGTGAGATTATAACAGGGAATCTTTCCATTGGCCTCATAATCCTTCCATTCTGGGTTTTGGATGTCCATAATTGTGGTTTTCGTTTTTGTTTTTTTTTCTCTTGCTGTTTCCACTTTCAACAATTTTTTCTGTCTCTTGTTTTTGTGTTCAAAAGCCACTAGATGGCAATGAAGCTGCTGGTTCTCAAGCAGCTCTGCCAGCCATCAGGGAGAAAGCCCAGGGTTCAGGAGCAGGGATGGGTGCCAGGGACTGACAAACTAAGATCAGTACAAGCTGCAGACTGAGAAATGTAGGTCAAGAGAGGCAATTCAGAGGAGACAAAAAGCACTGCCTTGATTCACGCGAGGTATTGTGGTGGGTGACATGGTGACCTGAGGCATCATTTCTCCAAAACGTGACATCTCCTGTCTACTGACACAAGTGGCACTCAGTTTAGAGGTACTTGTTTAGAGGCAAGAGACTGTAAATCAGCAGAACAGCAATATTTGAGGATTGGCAAGGCAGGAGTTCCTGGCTCCTGCTGACTTTCTATGTGTAAATGTATATTCTAATTTGGGAAGAAAACCCACCTGCTTGGTATGTATCTTTGTGAGATTGCCAATCACTGCTGAAAGAGAATAGTGGACTCAAACCCAAATCTGTTATACTTTTCAGGAAGTTTGTCCACATTTTCTTGAAAGTACATTCTAAGCAGTGCCAGAAGTGGGATACACAATGAGGAACATAAAGACATACACTTCTTATTCACCTCTTGATAGATCCTTGTTCCTGGTGGGCTTAAAGGAAAGTTGGCTTGCCTGCAACAGCAGGTGTGGCAGGTGTCCCTCATGCCCGTGAGATGTTGGAAGGTGTTGAAGATGTTGGAGGCTGGCGGGTGGCCGCCCGTCCCCCTGCTTATGGGGTGGGAGGCTGTGAGCTCACAGAGGTGGGGCCAGCACCCCCAGCCAGCTAGGAGAGCTGCCATGACCTCATAGAGGGGTATGGCAACAGCCAGCCCTGGCAAGGTAGTTTTGAGGTAAAAATCCTGCTGATCAGCTTGGGACTTTCCCAAATTCTTTCCCCCAACTCTAGCATTAAGAAAATCAGTGGGATTTACTTGCATTTCTGACAGTTATGTACTTGAACTCAGTGCAGAGTGCATTTAACTAGCTAGGTGAAAAGAAGAGGACCCAGCAGAGCCGGAACAGCTTAGTTCTGTTTCTGCTCGGTAACTGAAACCCTGTCCCACAAAATAAGAAATAGCCCTCTGACCAGTCTTACACTTGGTCTTCTGAAGATGTCATAACCAGTCTGGGTTTAACCAGTCTGCTGACGCTTCTCCTCTAGACTCCCTGGAGCTGCCTCTTGGTGGGACAGAAGTACCAAGTGAAAAATGTGAGAGGACTATTGTCCTCCAAGTCAGCAGACACTGCTGGCAGAAAGCAGCTAGGACTGAGGCACTACCACTGCCCCCACTTGTAGTTTGAGCCCAGAGGGCAACTGAGCACCAGGCAGCAGTTCACTCACTCCTTTCCCCACAGCACTGGGAAGGAGAAAATGAAGCAAAAGACTCGGGAATCGAGGTAAGGGCAGGGAGAGATGACTCACCCGTGACACGGTCATGGGCAAAAGACAGACTCATTAGGGGGGAAAAAAAAAAGAACATCACTTTAATTCAATCATTAACAATACTTAACAGACAGAGTGGAACAGTGAGAAGTATTACCAAATCCTAAAACCACCCCCCCTCACCCCTCCCTTCTTTCCATGCTCAGCTCTGCTCCTGATCTCTCTACCTCCTCCCTCCAAGCAGTGCAGGGGCAGGGCATGGGGGTTACAGTCAGTTCTCCACTGGGGGAGGGGGGAATGCCACACATTCCTCCTCTGCTCCCTGTGATTCTTCTGTCATGGGAAACAATTCTCCATGAACCTTCTCTGGCATGAGTCCTTCCCACAGGATGCAGCCATTCCCACGTTGCTTCGGCATGGGTCACCCCACATGTTGCAATCCTCCCAGTGCCAAACTACAACAGTGGGAGCTTCTTCCCACAGAGTCCCAGCCTCCTTGAAGTGCAGCTGCCTGTCCTAGTGTGGGCTCCTCCACAGACCTCCATGGGTGGCAGGGGGGAGGCTCTGGTGCACCCTCCAGATACAGGGGTCTCTGCTCTGGTGCACCCTCCCCTTCCTCCTCTTATCTTGCACTGACCTCAGTGTTTGCATAAGTGTCCTTCTCAGAACTCCTCCTCACAATTCCCAACCCCTACCCAAGTTCCCCTTCTTAAATACGTTATCACTGAGGTGCAGCTGTCATCACTAATTGGCTCTGGCCAGTGGTGGGTCCGACTTCGAGCCAGGGGAGCTTTCAAGAAGCTTCTCACAGGGGCCACTGCTATAACCTCTTCCCCCACTATCAAAACCCGCCGCCACACAAACCCAGCACACCACTGAGCCCAGTATTGCCATGACAGAAGACCCCAAGCACTGTGAGGGGCAGCCAATCCTCAGAGCCTCAGCTATCCCATTCTCCAGTGACATGGTATGTGACAGGGATGCGCGTGGCCACAGCGTTCCCATCACACCCCCTCAAGCATTCTCCCTCCACTCAACCTGTTGCTCTGGACAAAGGATTAAGAATTAAAACTGTATAATATTCATGTTCCAAATAAGAACAGCCACAAAGAAGAAAAGAAACTGTAAACCAGCCAAAACTTGTCTAAGCTGCTTTCCAACCTGGTAACAAGAACAGTATAAAAGAATAAGCCAAAGAGGGACAAGGTGAGGATGACTCTGCTGTGTACGTGGTTAGCAAGACCCCTCCAGAGCTAGGGCTTCAGGAGCTCTAGTTCTGAGGGTGCTCCTGAGCTACCCATCTGCTAACTGGATTTTGTGCAGTTTGCAACTAATGTTAGTGCTAATGAGACCCACAATTTATAGTCTTGCTTTTACCCACCCTGCAGTGCTATTACATAAAGTTCCAAGTTTGCCAGTTGAGTCTCCATTATTTGAAAAATAGTAACATCGTGTTGCATGGCACCTACACCCAGAGCAGGGGGAGTCTACAAATGCTGATCTGAGATCAGACCACCTCTGCTCCCAGGTGCATCTGTGCATAGGAAAAGGTCCTTCCTACACCTCTCCCCAGCATGTTAATTCTTTAAGCCTGCACCCGTTCGTTATTGCTTGCCCCCTCCTTATTCACAGTGATGCAACTGCTATTCAAGGAGATACATCACATATCTTTATCCTGATTCTTCATGTGTCTATGGACTTTTGCTGGGAGATGCACTTGGGGCAACAAGGCAGAAGAGTTCTTACTGAGTGTTCATCAGCCTCTTCAAAGCTGATCACCAGTTTACCCCAGGGGGTGGCTACAGGGAAAGACAGTTAACAGAGTAGCTTATGTGGTCTCTGCTTGGGCCAAACTAGTTTTCCTGTTCTCTTTGTACAGCCTGAGTTGGCTGAGAGTCATCCAGTCACTTTTTTCCAGCAGTCTCCTGAAACAGCAGCTGGCACATCGGCCTAACGGAGGGATGCCAGCCCCGCTAGCAGGGAAGCAGTGCTGCCTTCAGGCCAAACCCAACAAGAAACTCGTACCACATCCGTGACTACGAGAAACTCCTGCGCCCTCGGCACTTTGCCTTTATTCCCCCCAAGCAGGGGCTTCTCACACGCCCCTCAGCCCTACCTAGTTTCAGGACGGGGGCGGGGGGAGGGGGCAGATTTTGTAGGATCTCCCCATGAGAGCGTGGGGGAAGAGCGGCCGCGGTGACCACGTTCACAGGGGCTACTCTTCTGTCCCAGAGTAATTCCACCACTGCCCACAGCGGCGTCGCACCCCTCCCAACCCAAAGGCGCCCCCTCCCCAACGGCCCCTTCACTCGTCCCCGCCGCCTGAGGGGCCGGACGCAACGGCTGCGGCCAACTGCCCGCACCGCTCACGTCATCCCCCTGACGGGCGCGCGCGGTGCCTCGAGCCGCGCCTCCTCCCTGACCCCGCCATCGAACCACAGAGGAGCCTCCGCCAGGGGGAGACAAGAACAGCGGAACCATAGAGTTGGCGTTTGGCGCGCTGAAAGTCCTCCGCTTCCGCAGCGCCGTTCCGCGCGTCGCGGCAGCCGCGCTTTACGGCGGCGCGCCGCTCGGTCCCGGGGCAAGATGGCGGCGGGGCCGCGGCGGCGGGCAGCGCAGGGTGCCTAGAGGCCGCCGCAGCCGCGGGGGAGCGGGGCCGGGCCGGGCCGAGTCGAGCCGAGGGGTGAGAGGCGCGGGACGGGGCTGGGAGGAGAAGGGGAAGCGGGGAGAAGGCGGCGGTTCGCTGCACCGCCTTCTCGTCCTCCGTGGGGGGAGGAGGGGAGGCTTTCGTGTGCCTCGTGGGAGACTTTCTGCCACGTTTCCCCCGTGGACAGAAAAAAAATCATAAATTTAGTGGTTTTAAAATTTATTTTATTTCGTTTTTGGCAGTTAACTTGTTGCGTGAAAACTCTTTGATTTGCGTCCTAAAAGGATTCGGGATTGAGGTTTCAGAAGTTTTATTCTCTTTACCCTTTAAACGTTAGAAATACGGGAAATACGGGTTGCAGATGTAAATCCTGCCTCTGTTTATTGAGCTTCCCACCTAAAGAAATTATAGTGCCTTGCTAGAAAAAAAAAAAAAAATCCGTGTAGCCTTATAAATAGAAGGAATGCTGTTGATGATCACAAATCATGGGGTGCCCTGGCGAGCAGCAGCCCAACTGTGAGCATGACCTGCTAGTACCAGCCATGATCAGAGCTCTAGATTTTTACTACTCGGTGCACTGAATGTGGTCAGTTCATGGAGATTATTAGGAATCCCATTTGTGAGGCCTTGATGCACTGTGCTTAAATCTCTTTTTAGGGTGTAAGGGGAGGCATGTCACTTATGGGTTTGAAAGTGACTTATTTTGTCATTAGGGATGAAGGATGCGCATGGTGACAGCAGCGAGGCTGCGGAGAACTTTGGACTGAACTTGTGAATACTTGCACTTTGGTCACGATCTGTTTGGATGCAGTATGGTGACTAGAAAGCTGCATACCATCAACTCTCAAATTTCAGAGGGTGTTTTACATTTTGAGGTGGAATCTGTTGTGTGTGGAGTTTTGTGTGTTTTTTTTTTTTGTTTGTTTGTTTTTTCCCCCAGTGGTATTTTGAGAGGGAAGTAAGGTTGGAGATGGGGGGAGATTAGAACTATGAGAGAGGCAACATCCCTGGCTGTAGTTTGGACACTTCTGTAGTCATCTGTAAGTTGAGGAAATGTCTGAAGACAGTAAATAATTATTTCCAGGATAACATCTTGTTTGGTTGTCATAACACATCTTGAAATAATAGTGGTGGAGGTGGAGAGTGTAAGGGCAGTGATATAACAGTGGTCTGTGGGGAGGGGGAGAAGACATGGATGTGTGCAGAACACTTGCTGATGGCTACAGTGGGTGCTGGGGAGAGAAATCAAGGGGAGCTTAAAAGCCTGAGGGAAGGAGGAAATTTGTGGGAAACATTTCAAAATAAGAGGAATGGAAAGGTAAAAACTGAAGAGCTCTTGTGAGAGTAAATGAAAAGCTAGAAGAACTGTGGCATGCTCTCAGAAAAAAAGGTGTATTTCTCCTTCCCTGCGCCCCTCTGTAGTGTGAGCAAGAAGCTTTTTTGAGTCTTGAAGTGAATAAGGAATTGATTAAAGTAGGTACTTAGTAAAGTAATAGTGAGTAGGTACTTAATTAAGTAGTAGTAGTTAGGTAAAGTAGGATGATTTTGATGTGAATGTCTGATTTTGTAGTAGGGCTTGAAGACCTCAGAGGAATTTGAGGGTTTTGAGGGAGCAACTGTGCTGATACAGAGAAAAGAAATAGGCATGCTCAAGCTGCTGGTGCATAGGACCTGAAACCACGTTTATCTTTTCCAGGTCTCTCCCTCTCTTTAATTTTTTTTTTTTGAGGCGGAAGGAAAAAAGCCAAAATGGGGCGGAGATCTACATCATCCACCAAGAGTGGGAAGTTTATGAATCCCACAGATCAAGCCCGTAAGTATCCATAAAAGCTAAACAGATGGGAATGGAGGGGAAGGGGGAATCCTAGGGAAGCAGATAAAAAACTTTCTCTGAGGATAAGGTTCTCACTTGTGAATCAGAAGTGAGTTTTCCTAACTTGAAAAATACTATCTCAGTTTTGCCTGTTGTAAATGCTTCCTGAGAAGGCTGCTTGCTTGCATGCTGGTGCTTCCCTGAGTATTTATCTCTAGGTTTTTACTGTAGTTATCAGTGTTCAGAGGTCTCTCTACTTGGCTATTGGCTAAACTGCAAGCTGCTTCGGGGGACATAGTTAATCTGAATTTGAGGACCTTGTCAAATTCTGCAGATGCTCTGGTAAGGTGAGGGAGTTGTCTGTGTGTTTTCCTTTTGGTAACATTCCAGCTGTTACCAATGCTAAGCAGATAAACAAAATCCAGAATTCCACAGTGAATATGCTTCACCGTGATGATGCAGACTCAAAGTCTACATATTTTTAGCGTGTTGTCTGTTGTTGACCCTATTTCAGTTTCTGGGCAGCAATCCTTTCATGACTGCGCACATCACTATGATTTTTGCACCCTATTGTTCTTTTTTGTATAGAAACACTCCTGCTTCTGGAGACAGGAAGACTGCAATATCACCTTTTTTTTTCTGTGTAATACACATGAAATAAAAATCTACTTCATACTGTATTTCGTATTTCTCCCTCACTGGGAAGATAAGTTAAACAGTTACAGTCTTTAGAAAATGAGTAAACTTTTGAGAAACAGCACTAGTCTTGATGAAGGAAAGGTTCTTCATGGATTTGATTGTCTTTTTCAAGTTACTTTTTCTTTCTTTTCCCCTCCTCTCTAGGGAAGGAAGCTCGGAAAAGGGAACTAAAGAAGGTAAATAGAGATCAGGAGTGTTTGCTTGGCATTCACAGTACTGTGTATCATGTTTGTGATTGGAATGGGCCGTGGCTGGTGTTTTGGTTGATATCCTATTTCACTTTGGAAAATACTGCCCAAAGAAGTAGTTTAAAGAAACACAGACAGCAATCTTGTATGGAGCAACCATATCTCATCTATTCTTTTTCACTTGCGATTATTACAGCTTTCTGAAACATTGTCGTTAAGCACTTGGGAATTAAAAAACAAACCAAACAAACAAAAAACACCCCAAAACGCACATATTTTTTAGCATGTTTTACTGTATACCTTTTGTCAGTTGGTTTATCTGGTTGATTGTATGTGTCTTAATTGGAGTGAATGAATTACAGAAGCATTTGTAAATAGCAAGATAGTAGAATTAAAATTCCCATAAGTTTTAATTACCTTTGCTGCTGATGTGTGCTGTGGTTAATATTTGCAGGGCATTTTGTAGTGTGTTTCCTTGTGCAGACTGGGAATATTGAAGGGGGGGTACTTGCTACAAAGATTCTATCTCTTTCTCCTGTGACACTTTTCTGATCTTGGTATCTGATCCTAGAACAAAAAACAACGAATGATGGTACGAGCAGCTGTACTAAAGATGAAAGATCCAAAGCAGATTATCAGGGACATGGAAAAATTGGATGAGATGGGTGAGTAAGAGGTACCAGGTGTTGGCCTTTAGCAGTGATTTATGTAGATGCATAATGTAGTTTTCAGGAACAACTGGGAGGCTAAGATAGAGTAAGCTTTTTTCCTGTTCTGTTAGAAGGGAAGATTCTATGAATAATCGGGGATCGATTATGATTTGATATGGTGCTATCAAAGATGACTTTTTTTCAAGATGATGGCTGATATAAAGAACAAGCAATGTGCGTGACAGTGACTTGGAGTTGAAGGAGGGGATTGTCGTAAGGCTGATGGCTTCCAGAAAGTAGAGGTTGGAAGTTGTTTGCTTTGAAGTTGTTTCATTTCTCACAGTTGTGGAGTAACTTAAGAATTTTTGGGTTGTTTTTTGCTGTCTTGGATTAGAGTTTAACCCAGTACAGCAGCCACAACTTAATGAAAAAGTGCTAAAGGATAAACGCAAAAAACTCCGCGAGACTTTTGAGCGCATCTTGCGGCTCTACGAGAAGGAGAATCCCGACATCTATAAAGAACTGCGCAAGTTGGAAGTAGAGTATGAGCAGAAGAGATCACAACTCAGCCAGTATTTTGATGCTGTTAAGGTAATGCTTATTATATTCTGGGCTTGTAACGATGGTATTGTATGCTCTTTATCTGCTTGTTAGGTTTGACAGTTACGAGGGAAGGGTACTTTGAGAGACCAGTGTGTACGTTATTTGGCTTATATTAAGTACGTATATTAATTTGGATAGTATCTCCAGTTGCAGCATTGCAGTGAGGGTAGTATGGGGGTTATCAAGTCTGTATTTGTCTGATACACTAGTTTCATTCAGCCGAAATTACAGGGGGAAGGGAAATTTATGTTGCAAACCAACAATATCAGAATTATGTTTCTGTATTAAAGAGAGAACAATCCTGTGAATGTATGGTTGATATTTATTTGACTTTCTACTAAATGTGTTGCTGGAAGTAATGAGAATCCTTTGGCATTCCTTTAAAGAGCTTGCTTTGACATTCTTCCCTACCATACTGGAGAACACAATGTTGTCCAACTGAAAGTATCTGTTAGCTTTTTAATTTTTTTTTGTTGTTTTTCTTTGGAATATGCAGCAACCTAGGATTTGTGCCTTCTGGATACTTAAATACAGGCATACTTGTCTGCAGCCTCTTTGCTTTGAGGATTGAAGGTCTAAAGGGCGATGGAAAACTTGACTTGGTTTTGACTAAAATATCAAAGCCTTTCATGGGTGTACCGCATGTCCTTTGTTTTGTGTTGAAAGCTTTTACTGTTGACTTTTTTCCAAATGTCTTTCATGGACTGCTGCCAGATAAAGTGCCATCAGAATGGACACCTTTGGCAAGTGATGGCAGGTCCCATGTGTTCTGTACTCTGAAAGGGAATGAGGTTGTGCAGTAGCTTCTGTGGCAGTAACCCATTCTCTCTCTTTTTTTTTTTTTTTTTTTTTTCTCTCTTCCCCACCCCCTCCAGAATGCTCAGCATGTTGAAGTGGAAAGTATCCCTTTACCAGATATGCCACATGCTCCCTCCAACATCCTCATACAGGACATTCCCCTTCCAGGGGCCCAACCACCTTCTATCCTCAAGAAGACATCAGCCTATGGGTAAGAGGAAAAAAAAAAAACTTGGAGAGGAAGTAAAGAAAAGGAGCAATTTTATTACTGGGGAGGAGCTAGCAGTAGAAGTAGAGGTAATATAAACTAGGAGAAAACAGGAGTTCTGTGTGAGTGAATTGTACTTTTTTTTTTTTTAACCAAAACCCTTCTTAATTTTTCCCTACCGTTACAGCTTTTGTTTAAATTGGTTTGAATAATGTACTATGTCTTCTAGACTTTGTCTTTCTGCTCTCCCCTGCTACCAAAAAACCCCACCACTCACTCAAACCCAGGACATAGTAAAACTTAAAGCCCTGTAACTTGGAACATAAATGTCCCTTAAATTGACATATATGTGTTCTTTTGTCCTGCTAGTATATTCAGTTTAAGCTCCTAGTTTGCTTGTTTATTAGGTTTCTCATTCTAGTACTAGTTCTTTTCATTTCTGAGTATTCTTATTTTTTCAACAACTTTGTATTTACTTCACTCTGCTTCTATGATGGGATTCAATAGTTGCTTTTTTTCAGTCTTCAGTTGCCTTCTGAGAAGCTTGCTTTTGTCTGATCTTCAGCAGTCGTGTCTTTGTATGATGCTGTAAACTCCTTGGGATGAAGCTATGATTTATCAATGTTCATGTTTCATTTTGGAAGGCTTCTGTGTAAGCAGTGATAAGAGGCAGCTAAAGAATTCTATTAAGCTCATGTGTGGTTTTGTTCATTCGTGTTCTTGTGTTTCTCATTTCTTATTTCCAGACCACCAGTTCGGTCCATTTCTGTACTTCCTCCTCCTGGGCTTGGTGTTCCCCGTTTACCTCCAGGCAGGAAGCCCCCTGGACCTCCTCCAGGGCCACCCCCACCTCAAGTCCTACAGATGTATGGTCGTAAGGTGGGTTTCACCTTGGAGATGGCTCCTCGAAGGCGAGAAGAAGAGATTTCTTACAGTTCTGAAGCAGGTAAGGACTTTCCTATTACTGTTTGGGGTTTTCCTTGACCTTTCTTTTTGCTATGGATTGTACTGTCGTGAACAGTGTGCCCTAGACAAGGTATTCTCTGGCAATATGGATGTTAATACTACTTGAAGGACTCTTCTTATGAGTGATTGTACCTCCAAGGTGATTCTAGTATATTTCATAATATCTGCAGTTTTGTTGTCAGCTGTTTAAATGCTGAAACTTCTAATTACAACTTTCAGATACTTGGTTTTTTATTATGTTCCACAGATGGGATATTTTCCCATGGAGTCTTAACAAGGCTGAAACAGAAGTTGTGGCTGCCCCCTTCCTGGAAGTGTTTGAGGCCAGGCTGGATGAGGCTTTGAGCAGCCTGATGTAGTGAAAGGTGTCCCTGCCCATGGCAGGGAACTTAGAACTAGATGATCTTTAAGGTCTCTTCTAACCCAAACCATTCTATGATTGTGTTTATTATCCCTTTAAAAAAAAACCGTCACAACACAACAACAAAAAAAAACCCCAAACAACAACAACAAAAAAAAACCAACCCCAACCTAACAAAACCTACAAAAAAAAAAAAAAAAATCCAAGTTCCCTTTTCAAAAAAAACAAAACACCCAACAAACCCAACCCCCAGAAATCCAAACCAAGCCTGGATATGGATGTGGTAGCAGAACCTAGGTCCTGCTTTTTAACACAGTTACTGAATCTTCCCTAGGAACTTTAATGAATGGGTAAATGAGCTTTTCGCCTACCGGAATGCATCGAGTACTTCAATTGTGGGTGATTGCTATACAGAAATGAACTAATGAGTTGTAGGTAGGAGTTGTCTTCACTTGTTTGCTGTGCAAATTAACTAGCTGGTTAATAGGAGATCTTATAAATAGACTTTCAAATATTCTTTAAAGAATGTGCTAAACAGTAAAGGATTGATAGTATGCCCATGCTGTTGCTAGGGGGATTTTTCTATTGTAGACTTAAGAAATATTCTGTCTTTCACCGCAGTGTGTTTGGAGTTCATGCATTTTCTAATACTTTGCTTCCTGCAGGACAGCGAGGGCATGATGACGATATGTCCAGTACTAGTGAAGATGAAGGTTATCCTGAGGATATGGATCAAGACAAGCATGATGAGAGTAGCGATGATAGTGACAGCGATAGGTCAGATGCAGACAGTGAAGGGGAGGACTTCCTGCATCGTGATAATGACAAGGAGCGGGAAGGTGGCGAAGAAAAGAAATCAGGTATGATGGGAAGTTACAGTTTGGGGTTTGATTTTTCAAAAGAGGAACGCTACTTAACAGAGTTTGTGTCTGTTTTCCTGTCTGGTGGGGAAAATGATTTGTTTAGCCAGCTAACTCTGTTCAAACTCGGCTAAATTCCGGCTGGAGAATTTTTATTGATAGGCAGATCAGAAGGAAACTATGTAGAAGTGTAGCATTTTTCAGATGGACCTGTTTTCTTAACAGTTGAGTTAATTTAGTAAGGTTGCAAGCCATTTTTCACCTGAAACATTGAATTGGCAGGGTACCCTGCAAAAATTAAGCCTTGCTGTAAAAGATACTCCTTAGTGACTTGAACAACTAAGACAATTAAATGTCATACTACTAATGCTTCTGGGTAATATTTTTTTCTTCATTGCTCGGGGGGTGACCAACTGATAGAGAATACTACGTTATCAGAACTTAAAATGATCAGTAACACCAATGCTAACTCTTATGGAAGGAGCATCATGGTGTTAGAATATTTCATTATCCATACCAGGTAGAAGACTTAAATCTGTCTGATTTTTATTATTTTCTCCCTGCCACCCTTGCCCATGCCTTGCTTTCCCCAGGTCATAGTGTACGGTTTGCAGACATGCCTGGGAAGTCTCGGAAGAAGAAAAAGAACATGAAAGAACTGACTCCACTCCAGGCCATGATGTTACGAATGGCAGGTGAGCGAGATTGATATATTAAGTGGAGATAAGCCATTAGGCTTCCAGTTAAGGTTTGCCTGGTAAGCTTACTTTGCACAGTTTTTATTTTATAGAGGAAATATTTTACTGCCATAATGTAAGATCTGCTAAGAGAATAAGCTGTGATTAGGTATTTGTTGGGGTTTTTAAAATTATGTTTAGTCTAGTAGTGTGTGTGTTTTTTGCATAGCAGAGTTGAAGCAACTTGCAGGGGTTTTTTTGATGTACTGAGATATTTTTCTTTGACATTTTATCTTGCTTAACTTTTAAACAATTGTTCAAATGAAATATGAACCTCTTAGTGAAAAAGAAAGGGTGAGATTGTCTATGGACTCAGCCTATGACCTGTAAGGATTCATATTCCCTAAAAATATCCTTTTGCAGAAATAAGTTAAGCAATAGTGATTAATTTTTTTTCTTTCTTTTGTTTTAGAAAGACACTCCAGTATCTTTCAAAGGCACTGGAATTTCTTGGACATGAGGATTATGTTTATTTTGAGGTTGTGTCCCTATCCTGCCCTGTTCCCATCCCTCTCCCTGAAAACTCCCACAAACCATAGGTCAGATAGCTGCAGTTTGGGTTGGTAGTAGGTTTCAGCAACTACAGGGACACATAGCTCTTGGTGACAGAGCTCTATCTAGAACTGTGATTTTTTTTTTTTTTTATTATTATTTTTTTCATTGTTTTCTGTTTAACAATAAAATGTGGTCAGCTTTCTTTCCTTTGAAATAAACTTTATCTTTCTTCTTTTTATTTTATTGTGAACATCAGAGAAACCTGAGCACACAAAGAGATACGACCTGTGGACTGATTTTATGTCTCCCGTTTCCAGGTCAGGAAATTCCAGAAGAAGGGAGAGAAGTGGAAGAGTATTCAGAAGAAGAGGAGGAGGAAGAGGAGGACTCGGAGTCTGAAGAGACAGCACAACAGCAGCAGCAACAGCAACTCAGTGAGGAAGCTCTTGCAGAAACTGGGTCATCTACTGCAACTTCCCAGGCGCAACAGCAGCAGCCACCTCCACAGCCTGTTCCTCCGACCCAGATACAGGCACCTCCCCTGCCCGGGCCGCCTCCACTGGGACCACCGCCGGCCCCTCCGCTGAGGCCCCCAGGCCCACCCACTGGCCTTCCTCCTGGCCCTCCACCAGGTGAACACTTGATTTACTCTGGTTTGAAGGATGCAGGCTCTCAGTACTACAGGCAGCGTGTCGGTTTATACTGAGTTTTCAAGCTGCGGAACGTGTTGCAGTCGGGGTACAGGAGCCCAGTGTGGTAATTGCTGAGACCCGTCTGATTCCTTCTGTGGTCGTTGTTGTATTGTGCTTTTGAGACATCGGGCTCCTGCGGCTGTAGTCAGCTTGATGGGCATTGGTTTATTTGTTAGCAGTAATGCTGGCAGGCAGCAGCAGCAGCGCCAGTGTTGGAGTATGAAGAACAATGCCTGGTGCCATGTACCTCTCCAGTGTTTTTAACAAAGTTCTCTTTCCTATGTGTTCCTTGCTCTTCCATCTCCGATACTTCCTAGAGGGGCAACCTCAAACCAGTCACTTTCAATAGAGCAAAACTACTTCTTTTCAGGCCAGGAGGGCAATCAAACGCCAGAATGAAGTTACTTCACTTTTAGCTGTTTTAATTATGACAACTTCAGCTCAGTAGCTGTTCTCAGCTATTGCTTCATTATGTGAGGAGGAGCCCTTTTTCCAAGTGAGAGAAGATACTTGACTATTAGGAAGAAACTTTAACTTTACAACTGCTGCCTCTTTTTGAGACTTTTAGAAGATTTAATCTGGCAGTTGGTTAGTATTAGAATAGCTTTCAAATTACTGTTGAAGATCTTTAGTATTAGCTGATGGGATAGCTGGGGTTTTTTTAACCATAAACTAAGTTTCTTTTTTGTATGCATGCTTTCAGGAGCTCCTCCGTTCCTGAGACCTCCTGGCTTACCAGGATTGCGTGGGCCTTTACCTCGACTTCTACCACCAGGCCCCCCACCTGGGCGACCACCGGGCCCACCCCCAGGCCCCCCGCCTGGTCTGCCCCCAGGTCCTCCTCCACGTGGTCCTCCTCCTCGCCTTCCCCCTCCTGCCCCACCAGGTAAAACGGTCTGTCTGCTTCAGCACCAGGTCTCTTCTTGCTTTATTTTCCCAGTTTTTGCTGTGGCGACCACGCCAGTAAGTATAATTGGTTACTAGTTTGCTGTTGATCCCATTTGTGTGGCTGAATTGTGCTATGTGCTATTACGTTTTTCTGTGTAACAAAACCAAGGAATTCCATACTGCTGTCTGTAGTTTGGCAGCAAGAAATCTGTCCTCAAAAAGGGAATTTCAGAGTGTAAACTTCTGCTAGGCTGTTTCTGAATAACCTCCAGATGCTATAATGGTGCTCCACTTAACGAATTGGAGATAGGGATGTGTTTTTTGTTTTCTTTTTTTTATGCCTGGTCAGACATTTCTGATGACTGTAATTCCAGTGCGATGAATCACCAAGAAACTTTATTTTTTGATTACAACTATAAAATTTGAAAGGGAGCAATACACAGGCTCCAGAGTCTGAGGAGCAGCAGCATTTTCAGCCCAGCATTTGGTGCAGGGTTGAAAATTTTTTTTAAAGCCAGTGTTACTGCATAGTATTGGGTCTTTTTTTTTTTTTTTTTTTTCTTCTTGGATTTTTGAGCCCGTGCACTTTTTTAACGAGAGATTTTAAGACTCTCCCAGGTGTGGAGTCTGCTCATGCTTTCTTTTCTTTTTACAGGTATCCCTCCTCCTCGCCCAGGCATGTTACGGCCACCTCTGGTGCCTCCGTTAGGACCTGCCCCACCTGGGCTCTTCCCACCAGCTCCCATTCCAAATCCTGGGGTACTGAGTGCCCCACCCAGCTTGATTCAGCGCCCCAAGGCGGATGACACCAGCGCGGCCACCATTGAGAAGAAAGCTACGGCCACTATCAGTGCCAAGCCACAGATCACTAACCCCAAGGCAGAGATCACTCGCTTTGTGCCCACTGCCTTGCGAGTGCGCCGGGAGAATAAAGGGGCTTCAGCTGCCTCCCAGAGAAAACAGGATGATGAGCCTGCTCTCCCGTTAACCAAAGCTGCCCCTAAGGCTGGATCATCTGCCCCTATCTCTGTACAGACAAAGGATGATGTGTATGAAGCCTTCATGAAGGAAATGGAAGGTCTCCTGTGACCTCTCGTAGTCCTAGTCAGCTCTCCTGCCCCTCTGAACACAGATCAGACCACCGCAGAGGGAGGAGAAGGAAAGGTCCTCCTGCAAGCAGTGAAAGGGCTTGCATGACAGGGAATCGTTCCCTACCCACAGGTTAACTTGCCAGTATGCTCTGAATAGAGACCGCTGCAGATAAGGTGTGGCTGGGGTCCTCCTTTCAGAGCTAGGATGTCCACTTGGTGGAAGGAAAATACAGTAAAGAAGGTGATGCTGCTTTGCTGGAGTCCTCCCCCTTCCTTGGAGGGAGATAACTACTCTGGGGAGGGGGGTGTGGGAGCCCGGGGTGACCATGCTCTGCCTGAATCCTTGCACATCCTGAATGCTCTGGTGAGGGTAGTGGAACAGGTTTTTAAGGAGCCAGAAAAGTGTTAGCAGCATTTCATACACATATGGTTGTCCAGTTTTTATTTTCTGTACTGTTCTTTTCTGTAAATATTTTATAATCCTGTTTTTTAGTTGCAGTGAGATTGATCAATCATCTTTCTTCCAGGGTAGTCAGGGAGGTAATTGATTGCATATACTGTACACTGGAACTTTGCACCCTACCCCCTTTATGGTCATCTTGATGGCTTTTCATCAGCCGGGGAAATTCATTTTGTCTTGAGAGAGACAATAAATGTTCGGTGTATCAAAATACTGGTTTCTTTGTGATTTGTCTAAAACCAGTATGTAGACGGAAAGGGGGGAGGTTCTCTGGCCTCAGGGGAAGATAGAGGCATTCTGAACCTCAGAAAAGAAGCAATTGCTACATTATAAATAATAGATACTTTTTTTTCAACTAAAGTTCTGCTGTATTCTTTGTTTGAAATTGCTAAACATCCCTTTTCACCTTTGTGGGCAGCTAGTAGAAACTTAAGTCTTGAAGTACTCCTAATAATTACAAAACTATTTATTTTATATACCCTTATTGAAAGGTTTACTTCATATCAAGCCTCAGGTACCCACTGAATGCATCTTGGGCAGGCTACCTCAAGTAAAAATTGGTAAACAATTTTAATTCTATAGAGCTTGACAGATAACTTGTGAAAAATCTCCGATTTCAAATTCTATGAAGTTAGTGTTTTTAAGGTACAGATATTTTTAAAATATTAACATTGACAACTTAAAGAATTATTTTTCTATTTTGGTGGCAGTATTCCTTTAACTTTGTACACCGTGCTGACAGCCAAATGAACTAACAATCCTTACCACATGCAAGAAGCAAAACTAATTTGTCTACAAGACCCTGTGAGAGCTGCCTTCTAACTCCCCAAAACGGGCTGAGAAAAACAGTCTGAGAAAGAGGTAAGGGATGGAGGGGAGGGGGCAGAGGCCCTCTGAGCCAAGGAATGTCTCAAACACTTGCAAGTCACGGGGTGGGTAATGTGGAGGCTGAAGCTGGTAAGGCGGCCTGATTAGCACAAGATGCAGCTGGAGGAGGGAGCCTTGTGGAGGCGGGACGGTTCTGCCCTGGTGCCTCTTGTAAAGGTGCAAGGACCTTTGCTTTGCTATCCATGAAATGCATATTAAGTTTGACACCCTGAATATGCTAATGAAGGTTAACGAGATTATGCTAATTATCCCATAAAGCATCCTACTCTTCCCCATACATGTGATATGTAGGTATGTGGGTTGACCTAGGGGATAGACCCAAGGGAAGCGTGTATAAATTGTGGAGGGATGAGTGAGTGAGCGAGCAATAGACAGGAAGAAACAAGCGAGGAAGCGAGTGAGAGAAAGAAAAAATAAGACCAGAAATGCAGAAGACAGATGCATCCCTGATGAACTTGGATGGGACCAATGCAGGACCCTGGACAGGTGATCTTTATTCCTCTGTTCTGTCCCTCTCTTCTCATTTTCTTTTTTCTCCTTTTCCCTTATTTCCACTAAGTAGCACAAGGCGTACTGTAACACTTGCCATAATTTTTTTACATACTTAGCCAATTATTGGATATCCAGTTAGTACATTTTGGGAAATTAATGTCTATGCATGGACTTTGAGACTTATCTCGCAGTTGTTCGTTCTGTCGGGGATTTACAAATCTAAGTCACTTGTTTTCCCTCATCTGAGCAGGATGTGACAGACCCCAGGAGATTTTTCAGTCTGTTTCAAATGAAAATAAAGATTTAAGACCAGTGGGATCAGCTGAGTTGGCAATAAGTATCTCCCAAATGAGATGCTGCTTTAGAGAGAGAATAAATACTTTAAAAATGTAAAGTTTTATCTGGAATGCTGAATTTGAGCACAAGACCTAATACTAGTAGTTAGCTATTTATGTCTCCATCCTGTTAAAATGTGTTAGTGTTAAAAGTATGGTATAGCATGAAAGAGATTGAGAAAACTCTTCGTTGTCCCTGTTGAAGAGCTTGTAGTGAGTGTCTTAGTGATTTTAGGAGTGAGTCCTCTAACAACACATCAATTTCTAGGTGAATATATCCAGACTTGTGGGTTTTTAGTTTTTTAATAAAGAGAAATTTATGTTAAGCTGCCAGGCTAGTAGATATCTCAAACAATACCTTTAGTTGGCTATAAGCCCCAGATTTAGCTGAATACTCAATGTTTTGAGATTAAATCTGTTTTTAGGAGACAAAATAATTAGCTACCCAAACTTATACTTGAAAACTTTGATTCTGTTTTTGCGAATTTTGGACACAAACAAATAGGTTTGTATAACACTTCTCTTCCTGGTTCAGGAGTTAAATTCAGTTTTGTCAGTAGCATTTTAAATGGTTTGTGTGTGTTTGTTTTTTTTTTTTTTTTTTTTTTTTTAGTTATGGAACCTCCTCTTTATATTTTAGCTTTTTTTTTTTTTTTAAATATGCATTTTTATCTTTAAGTGAAATCTATGAATGGTGATTTTTGGGGGAAAGGTCATCATTGTGGTACTGTTGACCCTCAGTTTAATAATAATATTGACCCTTCCTCCCAGGAAGCAACCTGAGGAGAAGAGGACCTGTGTTCTGGAATGAGGACCTCCCTCCCATTCAAGGTTGAGAAAATCCCCCCAGCAGCCCTGTGATGACGTTAGTAACCTGCAGGAGTTGCTTGATTCATTCTGCTTCTTCAGGCTGATTTTTTTTTTTTTTTTTTATGTTTCATTTCCTGTATTCTCACATAGGTGGGCCACCTTTTCTTCTGTTGGGATAGAGTGAACACTTGCCTGTTGTATCTATCCTCTTCAGACTTGAGGTAAAAGGATTTGAACATGTTTAAATGGGCTCAAAAAAGGAAATCTCAAAAAAGGAATGCACAGGGACTGTATGTAATATCAGAAATGTCTCTTCCTCACCCTGTCCAGGGTAAAGGAGGTAGTTTCCTACAGCTGATAGACCTCTAAGATGGCTTTGGGGAGGTGTGGAGAGGGGGCAAGTGTGGTGGGGGGTGGAGAGAGAGTACTCCTGGAATGGGCTTTGAGACCCTAGGGAAGAGCTGGATTTGACAATGCAAATTATCCGGGAGCTGCCAGCTCTTTTTTTCTGGTAAGAGTCCGAGATCAGGGTGCCTACTGTCTCGTGTGGCTCTTGTACAGGAGGCTCGTCCCATATTCTGTTGTGGTTTTGGTTTTGGATAGACACGTGAGGTTGGGAGCTGTACGAGTGGCTGGGACTATGTGCGCAGACTGGCTGCATGTGGGGGCTGATATTTCATCTGATTGACCAGAAGTGCAGTTTGTCTTCAGCTTATTTAATATGGAGGATTTTTTTTTCCCCTTCCTTGCCTTTAATGCAGCTCTAAGTGGAAAGAGCACAAAGATGGAAGCTCTTCCCATCAGTTTTATCAAAGCAATGGGGTCTGTGGATGCCCTGACTTCAATCCATGCACTCAGGTAAACATCTGGTTCTTCATCAGCCACACAAATGATGGGCCATGGCAGAAATATCAACTCCAGCTTTGAAGACTGTTGACAACCTATTCTCCCCTGGCACCAGAAATGATTGTAAAGCAATTTCATTGCTAAATTGACAATACTTGCATCGGCTAGATGAATTTTTCCCTTTATTCATGTGTTTGACCTCAGGTAATTACTCTGAGTGGAATCCTTAAAAAAGAATAGATCAATGAAATTTATTTTGGCTGAACATCCATCAAATTACATGAAGCTTTGTGCTTATACTTCTATCAGGAGAAAATAGGAAAATGCTCCCTTGTATCTCTACTGTGTCTCAGTACCCTGACACTGGTCAAAAAGGGATTGAATAAGAGTGTGTGAAATAGAGATATGTGTGTATATCTATATATCATACTGTTTATTTATTGAGGAAGAGTTGAATCAGGGTTTAGTGTTTAGATTTAAATATTTTCTTAGAAGGGAGAAAAAACACAATAGAACGCTTGTGCCATATTCAAGAACAGCCTGTTTTAGCAGAGTCTGTGGAAACAATTATGCATTTACCTTATGATGACACTGGTCATGTGCCATCACAATCCTGTAATGCCATCTTCTCTGCAATTCCACAACAGACGTTTTCAGTTCTGGACAACTGGTACCATAAACCCAGGCCCATTTGTTCTCATTTTTGTATTGTGGTCATACAGATCTTTGTGATTCTTCTCCGTAGTACCACCTCCATCTTGTGGTCACATTTTTAATCCGTGGCTCTGAGTAGTGTTCAGAGAAGGAAAAATGATGGTGGGGAGGAAAAGGGCTGGGAAGGGACTGAGCTACAGAGTAATAATGTGACTTGCTTGACACATCATTGAAGATTAGTGACTGCATAACGATGGAAATAGAAAAAGGCTCCTGAGATTTAGTTCTTTCGGCATAATCCATTGAATCACAGCACTAAGGAAAGATGCTACCTAAATATTACTGGACCTTCAGAACAGGGAGCTGGTCTTAGTTACCCAAAAATAAGCAAGTTGTGACAGTACTTTGTGTGTGCTATGTAGTTCTTTTTATTTTGCTTGGTTTGTGATCTTCCTGCTGTGTCTGGCATATGCTGAACAGTTTAGATTAGAATCCCTATGATTGTACCCTTCTGGAAAAAAGGAGGTGCTTCTCTTTTGATCTCCAAAGTGCACAGTTTGGATTAAATGTCTGCTTTTGGAGGGTTTTTTTGGCTGTTTGATTTTGGGTTTTTTGGTAGGCTATCATGGATGGCCTGGTGGGAGTCAGGTCTCTGTCTTTCCCTAAACTACACCAAGGCCGGTATCCAGGGTAAGCAGTAGAGCCTGACACACACAACTCCTCTCACTGTAATTTATGATCTTTCTATCCTAGGATCTGGGGTGCATTACAAAGAACCACAACTCAGAGTTCAAAAGTATCAAGGAATGCAGATGGGAGCAAAGAATCACACAGAATTGGAATTTATGGCAACAAAAGCAGAATCCCATGCTGTGGGGAAAATGGAGGAAGATCCTGCTGTGCAAGGTGGGGGTTGCAGAAGGATGGGGCCAAGTCCAGGGTGCAGGTTCCTTTGTTGCTTTAGACAAGAATAGTGTTTGTCTTTGCTTGAAATGTATGGAAGCATGAGAAAAGGATGTCAGGAAATAAAGAGAAACCGGGGGTCATTAAAGCAAAGAAGGAAAAATGCCCAGGCGGCTCTTGCTCTGTAAGACAGGTCCAAACCGTATGAGACAAACATCTTGAAGAAGTCGCTTCAGCTTCTTGGTGCAGTGAGATATTCTTGTTTGAGTGAAAGCGTGACAGC